GGTGTGAGTGCACCAGAGGTCTTGCTGTAGGAGGAAAACAAAGTACCCGGGCAAGCCAGCTAACCATCATTCTATAGATCTGGAAGTCGACAGAAAATAAATACCCAACTCAGAATTCTGTTTAATATCGAGGATATGATAAAGTATAAAAATTAAAAATCGATTTGATGAAAAACCCAAAAGAACGAAAATTATAATTGATTTCACGACATTCATAGAAAGTCATCACTTGTTTATGATTACGAATCCCGGAACGGACACAGTGCTGTATCTTTGAACAAGATAACTACTTTAAGCCGCTTGACGAATAGGATGTGCGCGGTTGGGTAGTGCTAGATATTTTGTGTAAAAATAGCTATTGGCGAAAGAATGAAAAGTCTGGCTGCTTATGACTAATAGCAAGATCCCAATTTCTACAGATGCTTAGTTATAAACCGCTTTGAGTCAGTCAACAGAATGATAATTCAAAATCATGTTCAATATAATTTTGCGCAAAATATGAACAAAAGAAAATCTGCACATAGACTTTTGAAAAAGTAGAAGAATAGTATCAAATGCTCTGGAAGTGTAAGCGTCTTCTGCAACTTCGACGACATCCGCCATGTAAATTCATGTAAGTAGTATCACGTTACCAAACGAGAACAAAATATAAACAACGGAACCAGCAGGCAAATTAACGAGCATCAAAAAGTCTAGCTTCATATTGTATAGAGAACTAATTTTTTTTAAAGAAGATAGCCATGACGAAATTTGTATTAAAATAACCTAGAAGCATCATTACCACTTTTTATCATCATTCAAACATTCGGTAAGATAATAAAATCTTGTATATGAAGCCAAAAAATAGAAATCTTCGCGATCAGTGATTGTTCATCAGTATAATTTCCATTTATGTTCTACCTTTGTACAACGACGTTTGTACTATCGTTTCAAAAGCATAAAACTGCTTTGTTTTAAAAACATTAATCAAATTATTAATGTCCTACTTACATCCAGAATCCGGAGAGAACACTGTATCGATATGTAATCGTAAGAAAAGTAACATCTAAGTAATTTCTTTTCGTATTATTATTTTTCAACATCAATTTAGTGATCAACATTGTAAATGAATTCTTGAAAATTGAACATAACCAGACACTTTTCAGCAATGAAACTAAAATTTTTTAACTCATGTATTGGAATTGTTATTGTAGCACCAAATAAAGTAATGTGACATTGTCATGTGTGCTTTTGTCATCGTTTCTATTAAAATATCCATGATTTATTATTATTATCAAGTTCGCCTTGAAATCAAATTTTCCCTAGTGCAATTTGAAATTAAATCGAAAAATATCAACAGAATCTTAATTTAAGCTCAAATTCGATGAAACATATAAAAATAAGACCCCTAAACATAAGACCGAGTGTTCTGGTAGAGTCTTCATGTTAATGAATGAAACCCACCATGTAATTTACGGTTAATTTAAGTATGTAGTGTCAAGTTTCAAAATAGGAACAATATGAACCAGGTATAATAACGAACCTCAAGCTGGTCCACGGTTCAGAATTTACACATGTACGTGAGCCTGTTTATCGATATTTGTTTTCATTCTGGGGCTATTGCACCTCCCCTTCTACATTTAGACTTTTCTTTCGATCATCTTGGACATTCGTCAGTCGCACGCTAAGCTTTAAACATTAAGCCCTTATGCATTACTGACTAGACCTAAAAGGAAGAAATAGCAGTAAGGTGCAGTGTAATTCATTGGCGCTACTGTACCTAAATTTAAGCTTCTGTTAAAAGTACTATGTTTTACTAAAGTGTATTACATGATAACAAATCTTATCATAACCAAAAAGTTAATTAATATTTCCTACTATTTACAAAAAATAAGATAAGTAACCTTTTACGAATGCCCTTCCTCCACAGTCGATGCAAGCAATGATTTTCTAATTGTTCCGTATGTCTTACATTAGGTACGGCGCATAGTTGTGGTATAAATGTAAACATGTAAGAAAGTTCTTTTAAAGAGGTCAATACTTAATTAACACCTGACAAAGATCGTTAAATGATTGGTTGGAGTGAACTTAACAGATTCTATGCTAGCATCCCCGACTAACCATTTATGTGCTTAAAACTTTTGCATAACTGCAATAGGATCCACGCCAATAAGTAGGCTAATAAGCGCCTGGGATTCCGAGAGCCACTACCTAAATGGAGATTTTGTGAAAAATTGTGCCCTTAGAATGTATTACTGGTGAAAAATTGTTGTTTTCATGAAATACATAGCTGTTAAACATTTCAATATCGTAGTGTCGATATTTCCCTAAGTGAATTGTAATTTTTTTTCTCGTAAACTTCCGGTTGCTGACATCTGAAAGATCATATAACCTACTAGATAATGTTTTTTGAATATTTCACAGGTGTTCTTCTATTCATCTAGACAGCTGTTACTGATGTTGAACTTCAAATATTAATGCAAGCAGCTTAAATGGAAAGTAATAGCAGCATGTGATATATTTATATATCAGAACGTATTCAGATGACCAATTTTCTCACTGATTTCTTGTTGTAACGATGCTTATAAATACTTAAACTGATAGTTATATTTGAAAATTATGGGGAATTTCATGGTCAATATAGTGATCTCATTGGGAAATATTCCATTTCTTTTTATGATATGGAGCTGGGCGTGTTTGAGGTTTGTTAGTTTGCCTGTTGGTTCCGTCGTTGTATACGTCGTTCTCATTTGAGAACGTGACATCATTTATTTGCATTAACTGATGTCGTCGATGAAGGAGAAGACGCTTACTCTTTCTGAACACCTTCCGAGTTTTTGTAAATCTTTCTTTTGTTCATATTTCGTCATAGTTTTATGGAATTTGAGTTTGGATTATTAGCATTATGCTGACATGTTGTTATTTTCTTGATGTTTTGTATAAAAATATCAAATTTCACCCTCAACATGTTGGCATACAGAATGTAAGGTAAGGCTTTGGAAAACAATCAGGTAAGTGTAAATATCAAACAATAAGTTTTCTTCTTGTAGGTGCTTATATTATATATGCTACAAAGGCCAATTTATCGAATTCAATGACCAGCATTCGGAGAAAAAAGCGTCATTTATTCAAGCTGAGTTAACCTTCACCATGAGATGGCAACAGCCTTTATCAAATTGTATCATTTGTCAACAACGCATTACCAAAAAATGATTATATCACGCTCAGTATGTTTATCCTTAAGAGTTCACAAAGCACAGCATTTACAGATTTCTTTTCGGCGCAATTCCTAGCACATCTATTAGTACGAAGTCTTGAGACTGTTAACACGAGATTTATTGGTAATGCTGGGAACGCGCGCTTTTGCATGCATGCGATATCGTCCGATACTGTGCCGTCCACTTTTCGGTTTAAATGTTTATAGTTTGTGACTTTGTTTGTGATATGTCTTTTTCTTAGGTACCCGATTCGTTTGACAACACCTAATCCACTTGCGAATTTTACGGCCAGTCAGAATGTCCCAAAGTATAGAACTAGGGAATCCCCCTTCACTGATTCCAGTTGTCGAGGATCTTTTAAGTTTCACACGCAGAATGTGATTTCGTAAATACTTTATTATAAGACTTGCACTCACCATCTGTAGTCAGACTTACACAACCTGCGTTCCGACCAGTGACCTAGGCTTCACTTGACACATAAAGGTACCTGTGTGGTTTTAACTGATGGCAACTTCAATAGTGACAAGTGGTAAAGTTCGACAAAATGGCTATTCCGAAATACATATCGGTCAGATGTCTAGACGACATAATACTACTTTTCTATGTTAATTGCCTAAGCGATTGATTTCAGTATTCAATTAGACGATGTGACCATACGGCGACTTGTACATGGTTTATTTACGAAAATATATGCTTTTTAAATCCAATAGATATGTTCGCTGTCTGTCAAGGCCGCTATTTCGTTTCAAAATTCTGCATCATGCACTGAAGCATATCCGCGTTTGAAGGAGTCAGTATCGTGAAATTTCTAAATGACTCGGAAGTTACTCCACACGTTTATCGCCTACTTTTTCCTTACGATGCAAGGTATTACCGGAATATTTATGGGTTGGCTATGATGGCATAGTTAGGAGCAAATCGTCAATAAATCAGTCGGAACTTGTTTACTTATATTTCCTCTAGTCTGATACCAAATCACTTACGGCACCAAAATCCCAGTGCAAAGTTTTTATGCTGTACCATCATTGTCAGCGGTCCTTTGGTCAACGGTAGGATATTTTAAGAATCATTATTTGTTAGGCACAGCTGCTGCGTTTTAGATACACAAATATGTAAATAATCATTAACAGTTAACTTGTAACAAGAAGAAGCGGGGTGAAAACAAAAAGCCCACTACTTCGTTTGGAGACTATCACACTTACCTGCATAATATAAATGAATATTCATTTCTTCATGGTTGAAAATGTTGAATAAGAGGATTTATTGTAGGATAAGGAAACAGCGTTTGTTGATAATTTTACAGAATAGTAGTTCCTGTGTATAAGTTTGGTGGTCAGGTGGTGCTGTAGTAACACAATAACTTTATACCTAAATGCTGATGTAATATACTGCCTTTGATTAGACACAAGTCTAACGCACTTGCCTTTCACCCACACCAGCTGGTAATTATAACGCTCTCTCCGTTCACCTTCACATTTGGAATTTGATTCTTTGGGCAAACCTGAAAGGGTTATCTACCTAAACACCTGAGCTGTCCCTGGGTAATCCAGTTTCCTCCCACGGTAAGATCCTATGTCCTTCCATCCGTGCCAACAACACTGAATAAAGTAAGTTGTCACCGTTGTTGTAAAATAAAAGAAAACGTTTGTATATTCACATTTCAAGAACAACAGATATTTAATTGGTCTTACTTCAAGTGATGAATAAAAACACTTTACCTTGTGGCCATGTAATTTTATAGGTACACGAAACAACACGGACGACATCACACATCTGATAAATAGTTATAACAGAACAATGTCATGTATATAAAATACTTTATTGAGCCCATGTAAATACTGCTTTAGTAAGCATAATGGCACAATTTAAAAGTCTGCTTTCCTTTTCTTCCAAAATAGCCTGTCCCGTAAAACACAATATTAATTATGCTTCATCAAATTTGAAAAAAAAACCCATTTCAACTAGAAACTTCACTCTTCTTTTGCTTCATACAAATCCAGTAATCTAGTTCTTTTGAATATTGAATAAGTTAACGTACAGTTTGATTAATTACCTACACTTTTCTAAGTTATGCCTGATAATTGTAGCTGTGCTAGAATCTGAAATAGGTATTGAGATATAAGTATCACTGACACATAAAATTAAAACATTTAAATTGGGGTTGGAGTTGTACTGTTTTATGAAGGGAATACTGAAGATGGGGCAGTGATATTTTATCTTAATATGGATAGCACAAATCTATGTTTATGCATGTGTAACTAGCAACTGATGGAGGCTGTCTATCAAAAAAAAAAAAAATGTTTAAGATTCATCTTACAACTATGAATCACACCAAATCCACCAGAGTTTAATATATCTTCTCTACCTTATTGGTAAATGATTCCATGCTCATATAATAGAATCTCTAGAATATGTCGGACATCCAAACCATTCATGCTTCAGACCAAATTGAGGCAGAATGTTGCTATTCCTACAGAAGAAGGATGTTAGTGTATTATGAATTAAAAATGCATTGGGAACAATTAATAATTATTATAAAACCACAATATAAAAACAAATTAAGCAAGGGGCTCGCATGGATAAACTCTCTCCCTCTCCAAGCATTCATTTTATCTTCATCTCTAATGAGGATCATCAGATTTTTATACACAAATATTTTCTTTAGAAAGGGTCAAGGTTAGACTTTCGTAGTATTTGAAGGTTAATCTTCTACATACAGACCTACATACTATATGTACAGGTGTTTTAATCCATTCATTGGTTTCTGTCCCTCTAAGTATCTTGTGATAACAAATACCTGGTTATTGTCACTGATCAAAATTTTTGTGAATCATTTTTAAAAAAATGATCGAATTTTAACAAATTAAAAAATTCATTATCTGAATTCAAAGGGCAGTGATTACACACATCTCATTATTTCATGGATTACATTTTTACAATCACCTTGATATACTTCAAAATAGCGAAATTATCATCGCTGCAAAAATAATGGTATAATCACGAAAAACATTCTTAATTTGCACAATCAAAATTAAACACATCATTATTTATTGGCAAATAAGTGCAATAATAAATATGTGCCCCCAATAATGGTTATTATACAAGCAACCTAGATTAACTACAGTCATCACTATCATATTCAGTGCAACAATAAGAGCATTGCTAAAGTATGTGTATATCTACAATATATCATTTCTTTATGCAACATCCTGCTTCCCTAGTCTGAAATACATGATTCATAACAGATTAGATTGGAAAACATAAAACTGTATCAGACAGTCTAGAATATCCACTTCGGTGTCCTCCAATAAGCCACAAGGTGCCATAACTTATAAATGCAATTCTCATTTACTTTTTATATTAATCATCATATTTCATTTATTTATTACGTATTCATTACTGTCATGCCATGCCATGAGACATGTATTCATTAAACAACCGATGTAAATAGGGTAAATATTCATGCAAAATGTCTCCGTTCATAAAAACACTGCCAATTCGAACCATGAGATAAGTTGAATATTTCATTTGGACCTGTCGACTTCAACTTTTCTGTGTTTTACGCTTTACACAAATCTTCATATCAATATTTCAGAAAATCATAGTCTGTTTATAATTTGTACAATAATTCACATACATGTACTTTCCAGAGACAATTATCTACTACAATGTATTCACACATTAAAACATCCACTTAAAAAGCACTATGTTCCAAACATTGATAACAAAATTTACATCCATTTCAGTAATCATTACTCATCTGCAATTTTCTCTGTCAAAATTTTCAAAGGAATTAACCGATCTTGATTTTCACCAATCCATCCAGATGCTGTTTTTGTCTCATTGACAGCTGCCCATTCAGACTGATAAAACGTTGCTGTTTTTCTATATGTTTAAGTTCTGTTTGAGTTGTGACAGATACCAGGTCAGAGCTGTACAAGTCTTGTTCACCAAGAGGTTTGGCATCTTTATCCTCATAGTGGTATAACAGAATCACATCAGCTGTAAACAGAAATTATTAAGCTGAATAGAAGTGAGGATGAAATCACAAAGACCATATTACTTTAACAGTAGATTAAGAAGCATCAAATTGGATATCTTAATTCTACAACATCTATGATAAATTTTACTTTGAGTCATTATGAAATAGTTTCGTAATATATAAAAGTGTTGGTCTTATGATATATTGTCCTCATCAACATGGTCATCAGTTTCTTATAAATAATCAGCTGTTTATTACATTTTGTTTTGTTTTTATAAGCTTGTATTTTGTGAAATATAATAGAATCCCATAATATTATGAATATAAATAAACTTTGATAATGACCCATCATGTAATAAACTATTTGTAATTAACTTCAATAACTGACAAAACCCTAAATGGTTGCTAAGTTGCAATTTCCCTATATATTCCAATAAAAAAGACCAACCAGGGAACAAGAGGACATATACTGAACATTTTTATACACTGTATAAATAACAATAACAAGAATTGTTAAAGAAAAAAAGACAGACCGTGGCTGAAAGGTCCATATGTATATAGAAAAGTTAGCCTAAAATGTTGGAGGTCTGGATGCTAATGGGCCATCTAGGGAACAACGTTTAAATCTCATCTTTACTTCATCCCATTAAGACAAATGATCAATCTCTTCTAAAACATTAAAGGGTTAGGTAAAGAGATAAACAGGTGATTGAATCGGGATATGAGCAGAGATTTAATAGTACTAATTCTACCAATAGGTATATCTCCTTTTCCATATCTTTACAAGGGATTTTACTTTGGTGAGTTTTTTATCAAATTTTAACATTGTGATTTCATGCAGATTCACGCTAAATTCTACTCCTGATAATACAAATCTTTCTCTGCCCCATTGTAAATTGAGTTCAGGTAAAAAACTATCTGTCCTGTTTTAGAAGAAATATTCATTCTTATTTTCTGATATTTGGTGGAAACTTTTCCAAAGCTTTTCAAATACAATTTATGTTTAAGATTAACTTTTTTTTTCAAAATATATCCATTATGCCAAACTGACAGATTTCATCTCAAAAATATTTCTTACCATACAAAGGGAGATAACCTTTGAACATGTTTTACCATGTAGTTATTATATAATGAGAGTTTAATCATGTATCCAGAGACAAGGGGAGGTAATATTTGTATAAAATGAGAGATCAGCTTGAAAGGGGAGATAATTTATAAAAATCTATAGATAATTCACGTATCACGTATAATGTGAAGAAACTGAGTGATGATACATATATCAGATAGCAAGAAAAGACCTTTTTGTTTACATAGATAGATTAAGATTAATTGCACATGAAAAATTATTTCCCTAAGTGTACAAAGGGAGATAATTCAAGAAATACAAACGACAGTATTTTGATTTTGCAATGACATGTCAAACGAATTGCTAGTCTTTAACACATACCATTCATCCTCCACAAAGCCAGTACTGTTTTCCTCTTCAACTCGCCAACTTCTCGTTCTGGATTCTCAAGGATGATGTTGCGAGAATTGTAGTCAACATGAACCAAAACAACCTTCAACAATATAATCATTGTTTCATTATATAACAGCTTGAATATACATTGTATTACAATATTGTATGACAATGAGTATATGATGGTGTTATTACACTGTATAACACCCTGAGTATATGATGGTGTTATTACACTGTATAACAGACTGGGTATATGATGGTGTTATTACATTGTATAACAGACTGAGTATATGATGGTGTATAACAGACTGAGTATATCAAGTTGTTATTACACTGTATAACACACTGAGTATATGATGGTGTTATTACACTGTATAACACCCTGAGTATATGATGGTGTTATTACATTGTATAACAGACTGAGTACATGATGGTGTTATTACACTGTATAACAGACTGAGTATATGATGGTGTATAACAGACTGAGTACATCAAGTTGTTATTACACTGTATAACACACTGAGTATATGATGGTGTATAACAGACTGAGTACATCAAGTTGTTATTACACTGTATAACACACTGAGTATATGATGGTGTTATTACACTGTATAACAGACTGGGTATATGATGGTGTTATTACACTGTATAACACCCTGAGTATATGATGGTGTTATTACACTGTATAACACCCTGAGTATATGATGGTGTTATTACACTGTATAACAGACTGAGTATATGATGGTGTTATTACACTGTATAACACCCTGAGTATATGATGGTGTTATTACACTGTATAACAGACTGAGTATATGATGGTGTTATTACACTGTATAACAGACTGAGTATATAATGGTGTTATTACACTGTATAACAGACTGAGTATATGATGGTATTATTACACTGTATAACAGACTGGGTATATGATGGTGTTATTACACTGTATAACAGACTGAGTATATGATGGTGTTATTACACTGTATAACACCCTGAGTATATGATGGTGTTATTACACTGTATAACAGACTGAGTATATAATGGTGTTATTACACTGTATAACAGACTGGGTATATGATGGTGTTATTACACTGTATAACACCCTGAGTATATGATGGTGTTATTACACTGTATAACAGACTGAGTATATGATGGTGTATAACAGACTGAGTATATCAAGTTGTTATTACACTGTATAACACACTGAGTATATGATGGTGTTATTACATTGTATAACAGACTGAGTATATGATGGTGTATAACAGACTGAGTATATCAAGTTGTTATTACACTGTATAACACACTGAGTATATGATGGTGTTATTACATTGTATAACAGCTGAGTATATGATGATCTTATTACACTGTATAACAGACTGAGTATATGATGGTGTTATTACCCTGTATAACAGACTGAGTATATGATGGTGTATAACAGACTGAGTATATCAAGTTGTTACTACACTGTATAACACACTGAGTATATGATGGTGTTATTACATTGTATAACAGACTGAGTATATGATGATGTTATTACACTGTATAACAGACTGAGTATATGATGGTGTTACTACATTGTATAACACCCTGAGTATATGATGGTGTTATTACATTTTATAACAGCCTGAGTATAAGATGTTGTTATTACATTGTATAACAGACTGGGTATATGATGGTGTTATTACATTGTATAACAGACTGAGTACATGATGGTGTTATTACATTGTATAACAGCTGAGTATATGATGATCTTATTACACTGTATAACAGACTGAGTATATGATGGTGTTATTACATTGTATAACAGACTGAGTATATAATGGTGTTATTACACTGTATAACAGACTGAGTATATGATGGTGTTATTACATTGTATAACAGACTGAGTACATGATGGTGTTATTACACTGTATAACAGACTGAGTATATGATGGTGTATAACAGACTGAGTACATCAAGTTGTTATTACACTGTATAACACACTGAGTATATGATGGTGTTATTACATTGTATAACAGACTGAGTATATGATGGTGTTATTACACTGTATAACAGACTGAGTATATGACGGTGTTATTACATTATATAACAGCCTGAGTATAAGATGTTGTTATTACATTGTATAACAGCTGAGTATATGATGATCTTATTACACTGTATAACAGACTGAGTTTATGATGGTGTTATTACATTGTATAACAGACTGAGTACATGATGGTGTTATTACACTGTATAACAGACTGAGTATATGATGGTGTATAACAGACTGAGTATATCAAGTTGTTATTACACTGTATAACACACTGAGTATATGATGGTGTTATTACATTGTATAACAGACTGAGTATATGATGGTGTTATTACACTGTATAACAGACTGAGTATATGACGGTGTTATTACATTATATAACAGACTGAGTATATGATGGTGTTATTACATTATATAACAGACTGAGTATATGATCTTTTCTCAATTTCTTCAGCATTTACCTTTGATGGTGGGACATTCAAGATGTCTTCCTCTCTGTCAATCACACATTCAGTAACCTTGACCGTTTTGTCTAGGAATGTCCTTGACACTGTCATATGTTTTTTGTGTGCAGGGTCACCATTGAAGCTCAGGATACACACTGAGTTCTCGGTTGATGTTTTGGAGATTCTATCCATTACTGAATGAGGCTGTTGTGTGGATACATTGCTGTTAGCATACTGCCTGCTTTCTGATGTCAACTTCAAAGAAAGAAAAAAAACACCTAAGATAACTTACATCATTACTTTTTCAAGATGAAATTCATGTAATTTTTTATTCTTTGCCCTATGTCTACTAATAAGCCCATAAACATTCTCAGGTTTCTTTCCACAGTAAGACCCAATACAGACTTCCATGTCAACCGATTCAAAATCAAAATCATCATCATCATCATCATCATTGTCATCATCATCATCATCATCATCATCATCATCATCATCATCATCATCATCATCATCATCATCGACATTGTCATTGTCATCATCATCATTAGACATCAATCATCATAATCATCGTCATCATCATCATTAGACATCAATCATCGTCATCATCATCATCATCATCATCATCATCATCATCATCATCATCATCATCATCATCATCATCATCATCGTCATCACCATCATCATCAGACATTAATCATCGTCATCATCATCATCATCATCATCATCATCATCATCATCATCATCATCAGACATTCATCATCATCAGACATTAATCATCATCATCATCAGACATTCATCATCATCAGACATTAATCATCATCATCATATCATCATCATCGTCATCATCATCTCAAACATCATCTCAAACATCATCTCCATAATCATCATCATCAGTCATCAATCATCATCATCATTAATTGGTATGTAATTATGCTATATATATATTGTATGGGGAGATGAATTTTTACAGCTGAGACATGATTATGATACTGAAGAAAATTACTGTTTACTCAATATTTCTCAATAAATTCACCTAAGTAAAATGTGTCAGTAGTCTTCCATCAAATCATTAATGTTAGTTATGTTACTTTCATACAATTATTTAAAGAAAAGTGTTTTTCCTTCAACAACAATTTTACCGTCATGGCAAATTAAAACTATGTTCATGTTCTCATGAAATATTTTATTATTGTATTTTGACTGCGTTTTATATCAAACATTCAAAATATCAAAACTTATATTTACATTTGTTGATTCAAATCTTTATATATTCATCCCCATTAACTCCAAGAACATCAATATTTTCAGTATATGATTTTAGTATAGGTTGTCATTTCTCTGCATTTTGGTAAAGTCTCCTGATCCAGGTGAGTTTTAATTCCCGTATAAAAACAGTGATGGTGATCAGTTTTAATCTACCGCTGGCATGATTTTTATTGATTTCCTCCCTTTTTGATCTTATGTGGCTTCTCGTTCAAAAAATGGTCATAGAGAAGAGAGTTTAGCTTTTTTGAGACACTTTTCATCAGGGTTAGGTAAAGAGATAAACAGGTGATATGAGAAGAGATTTAATAATACTAATTCTACCAATAGGTATATCTCCTTTTCCATATCTTTACAAGGGATTTTACTTTGGTGAGTTTTTTATCAAATTTTAACATTGTGATTTCATGCAGATTCATGCTAAATTCTACTCCTGATAATACAAATCTTTCTCTGCCCCATTGTAAATTGAATTCAGGTAAAAAACTATCTGCCCTGCAGTTTTTGCTCCAAATCCATACCACTTTTATACCACTTTTATACCACATTTTATCAACATTTATCTTTAAACCAGACACTTTGGCAAATTCTTTAAGATAAGGTATTGATTCTTTAATTGACAGGTTGCTTAGCTGATCTATAATCATTAAGGTTATCAGACAGGTGTTATGAACAGATGTGGTATCAGTGTTATTATAAAGATTTTTATGAAATAAACAAACTTTCTGTAAAATATCTTCCTGTTTAATGATAACTTTATCATTATCATTTTGTAGCTTAGGGATTATTTTAGAAACATAATTTCTATTTTCTAGATTTAAAAAAATACTTGGAAGGTTTTTCCCCCTCTTCAACCACTGAGCTGTTTTGACGTTATAACACTTATATTTGTCTGATGCTCTCTAATTTCTTCTAATTCAGATTTTCTCCTATCTTACTCTTCTAAATCAATGATATCAGATGCTTCCAGAGATTGCATTGTATTTTGTAAGATATTTTCCTCAATGTTTTGCTCTTTTTTCTTAAATGATGCCTTTGAAATTGACTTACCTCTGATTTCCATAAGTAATGTCTCTAACAATATATGTTTAATAATAGAAAATTGTAATTGAGAGTTTGAAATATCATCAATATTTTTCAAATTATAAAGAGGAACACATTTTTTGTTTTCAAATGCAGTAATACATGAATTAACAGAATGAATATATCCTAAGTCATGAAGAAGTGAATTGCTTAACTTCCCTCTGCCTTTTTAAAATTATGTGAAGTAAGCACTAATTTAGGAAAGGAATGATCTGTTCTGTAACCAGGTTCAATATTCGTACAACTAACACTAGATAAGAGATTCTTTGACACAAGGAAACAATCAAAATGTGCCTGTTTAATAGGATTATTTTTTCTCCAGGTATATCTCCTTAGAGTATCATGTTGTTCTTTAAAGACAACTACAAGTGCAAAGTTCTCGCTAATTTCTGATACCTTATCTCTAGCCTTTGCTGTGGGTTGTTTATATTTTTATAACTGTTATCGTAGTCCAGTGCAGCTGTTAAAACAAGATTAAAATTACCACAGATTATAATGTAAGCGTTGTTGAGTACATCAGTTATGTAAGAAATATTCGAGTAAAATTCAGGACAATCTTGGTTTGGACCATAAATATTAACAAGAGTGATATGTTCTGTTTCTCTATCTAAAGCTAATTACCTGTAATTCATTCATTACTTGTTCAGAAGAATAGAAACCCTGTGAGAATTTCCACAAAAAGATGAAAAAAAATTCAAAGCCCCACTCATTTCTAATTAATTCTTCATTATCATGATGTATAGCCTGTAAACAGTATATATTCTGATAAGTTTCAGATAAAAACGAAATGACGTCCTTACATTTTTCCCTATTTGACAGCTCCTGTACATTAGCTGAAGTGATTCACTATCCACCCACATGTAATTGTAATCTATTAAGTTCTACTCCCTGTGACCCAGAAGACAAAAATATATAGTGAAAGATATCAACACATATAGCAAAACACATGACGATAGATGTATACCTGTTAGTAAAGCTAGAGATGGGAAAGTATAGGCAAGTAAGTAAAGAACAACATAGAAGACGTATAACTGGTTCAAAATGTCTCGGGGTACTCTCTATCAAGTGAAAACAAACTTACAAGTTCCAAGATGACCACCTGTCGGCCATTATTATTTTCTGATCACAGCCAAAAACAAACGAGCACAACTAGGGACCCAGCGAAACCTAAATATAAAATTTGACAGAAATCCATCCTCTACTTGTTAAGAAATAATGAAAATAGTTATAACACACTTGCAAAGTCAAAATCAAAGATGGCAACCCGTCAACCATTCTGTTTTTCTAATCAGTCCCAAAATGAGATGTGCACAACTAGGGACCAGGGGAACAATGTACGTATTTGAGAGAGATCTATCAAGTAGTTCTCATTAAATGGTGATAACAAACTTCATTGAAAAACTCAAAGATGGCAACCTGTCAACCTTTTTGTTTTTTATATCAGTCCCAAAATCAACCTGGCACATGTTAATTAACATCATATTATCACCCTCACCTAGAAGTACACCACCATTTTCACCAGGACCTAAATATTTTATAGCAATCAATAAAGTATATTTTATACTCTTCAGTATAAATATACTTTTTACCGTTCAGTATAAACATACTTTATACCGTTCAGTATAAACATACTTTATACCGTTCAGGATAAACATACTTTATACCGTTCAGTATAAACATACTTTATACCGTTCAGGATAAACATACTTTATACCGTTCAGTATAAACATACTTTATACCGTTCAGTATAAACATACTTTATACCGTTCAGTATAAATATACTTTATACCGTTCAGTATAAACATACTTTATACCGTTCAGTATAAACATACTTTATACCGTTCAGTATAGATATATATTGTATATATCTATATCAGAAAATGTATGATTTTTATATAAAACTAACTTGCAGCAAAATAAGAAACACAGTCACCTCTACTCCCTGCTCTTTAACCTTGTAATAACTTTGTTGAAGAATTCGTGATATATATATTTGTCAAGCTCTTTTGCTCCTAAAGTGGTCAAGAGTGACTATTGACCTTTAACCACGACTGCTGACCACAAAAAATTTATCAAATGTAGACATTGATAATTTTTCATTTTATTAAACTTACCAATACCTGGGGTTCTCTTCGCCCATCTCTAAGCAACGTTTTCAACCTCAACACATAAAGCACCAGGCAAATTTCACCTACAGCTAGCAAGATGCATAAATACTGCCAAGCCTCTGTTGATAAAAATGAAAACATATCATCTATACTTAACCAATCAAGTCGAAAACAATTAAAGCTGTATAAGTACAAATTCAATTAAATAACCGAAATCTATCAAAACTTAATCAATGGATCTATAAAGAAGAGATTTAAAAACATTTAATTACTTCACCTGGAAAAAGAAAAGGACAAAAAAAACGTAACAAAAACAACCCAGTCTCTGCTAAACACAAGTATTCCAAATTAATCAATTATATAGTTTCTATTGCTGTATCTGAGAGTAAAGAGTGTCATATATTTACACTGGTTGTTACTCAAGGAGGTTTTTTGTTGCTTTATGTCCTATGAACAGCCAGAGTCATTTAAGGACATGCCAGTTTTGGTGTTCGAGGAAAATTGGAAGGAAAAACCAACCACCTACTGCCATTACCGATAACTTCCCCATGTATATCTCGACCCACAACACAGAGGTGGAGGTCTAGAGATAAAGATGGTCAGAGCATTAACCACTAAGCCACAATGGCCCCCCCCCCCTTGCTCTGGGATTTAAAAGTTAAGTGACAGATATATTTACTACAAAGAAAGTTGATGGTGGTTTTACTCGGTATGATCTACATAAAAATGACAGAAATATGTTAAGTATATATCAGCATTACCATCAGATATCTGCTTGAGGACAGTCCTGTCCATATCCTTTTGTACTCTGTGTGTCTGTTCAGACTGGTGATACAGTTGATGTTTGAAGTCAGTCACATTTGAACCAATCTTTTTCACTGACAAACTGGTATTCTGAATTTGTTCAGCATGTTTTATAAGTGTTTGATTGAAAGCTGTAGCATCCTCTTGTAAATGTTTGACATATCCTTGCAGTGAACTGTAATTTATCTTAAGTTCCTGATACTGTGTCAGAAATTCTGTCAAATCACAAGCAGAATTAACTCTATATTGTTCCCTACACTCAGTATCTTCAGTGGAGCTCGTCGATGAAGTTTCAGAGGTTTTCATAACCATATTGTAAAAAGTATCTTTTGCTGGTGGCCACAAAATACTCCATGACACTATCAAAGCCAGCCTGAAAAAACAAAGAGAACTAAAAAGTATGTGTTTATGTAAATTATCTTCTTTTACTAAATTCTATAATAAGAAAAATCAAATGTAACTTTGTTATTCATTTCAGTGTTGAAAAGTACATAATTGTGCAAAACATTTTTTTAACCTGACAAAATACCACAATTAAAATATATCAATGCAACTAAAATTAATTACAAGAAGTTTAATAAATAAATGAAAATAAATGAACACGTACGTCACGCCTGTTTGCATTATGAGGCCGTATCTGTAGTTTCCGTTATTCCAAATGAATGCAAGAAATTCTAAGTAGACTTGTATGGCTGACCTCTGCTCCTCTTGTGTTTCTTTACATTCTACTTGACCTTTGGACTCTCGTTGACCTTTGAGTTCTGCTTGACCTTTGAACTCTCGTTGACCTTTGAGTTCTGCTTGACCTTTGAACTCTAGTTGACCTTTGAGTTCTGCTTGACCTTTGGACTCTAAGTGACCTTTGTGTTCTGCTTGACCTTTGAACTCTAGGCGACCTTTGTGTTCTGCTTGACCTTTGGACTCTAGTCGACCTTTGTGTTCTGCTTGACCTTTTAATTCTTCTTGACCTATGGGTTCTACTTGATGTTTCAACTCTAAATGTTGTTCGCTATCGTCTTTATCTGATATATGACCTTCATGAACTTGACCAATACTACTCATAATGAACTTGGTCTTTCACTTTCTCAACCACACCAGTTATCAGTAGCCTGCAGGATGTAGATCTTTGGGTAGCTTTTGGAAATCTACAAGAAACAAAAAAAAAATATACGATATTGAAAATACATGTGCAATCAGGTTTATACTAAACATAAGCAAGTACACAAATCTGGAAAGAAATCCCCAGCAGTATACATATATGCAAGGCACAAACCCGAACCAGTCAGCTATTGAGCATGTGGTATGTGGGGTTTTGAATTTTCCCCATCTATTGATAATTTTTTTATGAAACTTTTCATTTTTGCATAATAAGATTGTGTATATGTATAATCTTATTTAACCAGAATTCTTTTTCAATATATAGGTCCCTTCCCCGTTTAATGTAATCTATCCAAAGTGTATTGCAGTACCCTACTGTGACTGTAAAAGGCGTTAAAAATACCTGTCAGAGATTTCCCATAACTGTACATTGATATCTTCCTTGTTTTAAGGATGGACACATCTTGATAATGAGAAATTTGGTGTGTCCAAATTATATAATGATCCTGACAGACAACTGATACAATACAATCAGCCATTTAAACTGCACTAATCTCAGTGGGAAAACCTCTGTGTAACTGATGTTTACCCATTTGTTTACTGATAACCACAAAAATATCATTTGCTAATTACATATTATCAGTCATTCTGATAACTGGGCTGCATGCCATTCAAAAAATGTCAATTACAAATTTCAGTATATCCCCAGATGTTCATAAATCTCTAATATTTGTATAAAACATTGACATTATATCATATGGATAACACTCTCTCCTAAATGGCACATTATGACATCACAATGTAGGTTACTATTACATCACAATGTAGGTTACTAAGACTTCACAATGTAGGTTACTACGACATCACAATGTAGGTTACTAAGACATCACAATGTAGACTACTATGACATCACAATGTAGATTACTATGACATCACAATGTAGATTACTATGACATCACAATATAGGTTACTATGACATCACAATGTAGACTACTATGACATCACAATGTAGATTACTATGACATCACAATGTAGATTACTAAGACATCACAATGTAGGTTACTATGACATCACAATGTAGATTACTATGACATCACAATGTAGGTTACTAAGACATCACAATGTAGGTTACTATGACATCACAATGTAGACTACTATGACATCGCAATGTAGATTACTATGACATCGCAATGTAGATTACTATGACATCACAATGAAGATTACTAAGACATCACAATGTAGATTACTATGACATCACAATGTAGATTACTATGACATCACAATGTAGGTTACTAAGACATCACAATGTAGATTACTATGACATCACAATGTAGATTACTATGACATCACAATGTAGATTACTAAGACATCACAATGTAGATTACTATGACATCACGATGTAGGATAGGTTACTAAGACATCACAATGTAGATTACTATGACATCACAATGCAGATTACTATGACATCACAATGTAGGTTACTATGACATCACAATGTAGGTTACTATGACATCACAATGTCAGTTACTATGACATCACAATATAGATTACTATGTAACATACCTATGGCATCACCTGACGATGGCTGCAAGGTTCGAAAATGTTAGTGACTTTGATTTGGAGTTTTAGTTGCCATTTTGTTTCTATATTTATATGTATGATACACAGAGTACTTCTTTTACTTTAAGTACACATATATAAAGTGCCTACAAGCCCTTGGTGCATTTAACACCAAGTGTGAGAGATCTCTATTATGACAATGCATCAATAGAAATATTGTAATTACATTACAAATTATAACAAGTAACAAATGGGTTTATCTCCAAAGTAATAAATTGATAGAAATCCATTCAAAGATCAAATTAGTTTTCAAAAATTGAAAACTACTTAAAGTGCATTTTATTTTCCTTGTATGAAAAATTATTTGCTAAGTCCTGGTTGTATTTCCTTATCCACCCATAGATTTTACACCACTAAAGGTATACATAGACAGTGTATATCATATACATTGTATTTAATTGTCAGATTTTACGCCACTAAAGATATACAGACAGTGTATATCAAACACACTGTATTCATCTGTCAGATTTTACACCACTAAAGGTATACATAGACAGCGTACATCAAACACACTGTATTCATCTGTCAGATTTTACACCACTAAAGGTATACATAGAAAGTGTATATCAAACACACTGTATTTATCTGTCAGATTTTACACCACTAAAGCTATACAGACAGTGTATATACATAACTATGTTTGGTTCACAAAACCAAAATGTCACATGGTAAAATTTGTAGCACTGTGTTATTGTTTTTGTGTTGTGTCAACACTTTCAAAGCCTCTGATTGGCTTTGAATCCGAGGCTTTGAAATTTATAAATTTTCTAAATTTGAAAATGAACTAACTCAAGTTTGATAAACATGATAAACAACCGTCATTCATTCGGAACCTCCATTTATCACTTCATTTTCCTTTCAAAAAAATTAACCAAATAGATCAGAATCCATGTGTTGAATGACTGATTAAGGAATCAGTATACTCCTGTATTCATGTATATATATCACGAAAACAAAAATAGTTCTTTAATTTTTGTGGTACCGCGCATGTTGGAAGTCATTATAGGATATACAAATTACAAATAATTATTTCCAAAGCCCTGACAGGTGCTCAGAACATTTCAGTTATGTGCAAATCTACTTACATACAAATGATCACCGATCTCATGCATGGGTAACCTTCTAGATGTCATAATTATAATGAGGCCTGTGTAGACGTAAATATAATATTACTTTACCTTTTCAGAGTCATCTTGCTGTGGTTAAATTAATCTAATGATCTCCTTTTAAATATTTTTATACAACCCCCCCAAAAAAAACCTTTTTATATACTGACCGCTTCGGTTTTCCCAATATGCTCTTTTGTTACATGCTCTTCATTACGCAGCAACGGCAAACCGAAAGTACCAATCAAAATAATATACGTTTAGTTGTGGATATGTAATCTCTTTATCAGTTCGCCAAAAGAAGTAGTGCATAGTTGAATACAAAGTTTAATCATTCAAAACGTATAATCAAATTATTAAACTACATTTTTCTTAAATACGATATTTTATCAAATGATTGAGTCAAGATATTTGGCTTTTATTTGCGTTTATTTAAGACTGCCATGGTTAATTACAATGCGGATTAATATATTACTTCATTTACTGTGTTGCAGGTAGTTAGACGACCGAGCACTCGTTTTGTGATCATTCAACTGCTGGGGTCTTGAAGTTTTCAGGAACGATTAGGTGAGACATTCTTAATTCAAATCAAAGTTTCTATATGCTTATTTCTGACCAATGTCCGTACATGACACGATTTTGGTGATTCTCGTTAAAGACATTTTTTAAACTACGTGTTATGAGGTTTACTGCAATAAAACAAACTATTTATAGAAATGAGGAAATTCCCAGATTACGCCTTTTTCGCATGTTTTGTGATTGCAATGCTTAATCGTTCAATATTTAATTTGAGACAAATTTCAGAAGAGACAAAGAAAACGAAAGTAAGTTGCATTATGCTTCTTAGAAATGCATTCGGAAAATTATTGAGTCTGGTATAGAGGACTCAAGCACGTCCTGAACCGGAAATAAACTTATCTTATCTTAAAGGTATTTGGTAAATTGTTCCGAAGGAATAGACTTGCATAAGTCCGGATTTCCTTATTTCGTTAACATGACACTATACCCGAAATGGGAGGGGTGGGATTCATTTGGGGAAATAGAGCATATTCCTTAAAATCCTTCTTCTCCATAAGAAGTTTGGTCAGAAATATCCTTTGGTGAAGGGGAACAAGGTTTGTGAAAGAATTGGTTCTCAGCTCCCAAGGGACTTAGGGACAGGGCCGAAAAGGGGAAATTTCGCAAGTTCTTTAAAATCTTACTTCACCTATCAGAATAAACAGGTATTGCCCAGATTTTGTCTGAATTAAAATTTGTGGGTGAAGCGGACTTAATTCTGTATAAATAGTCCATCCCTGCTCCCTAGTGCTGGAGGGGTGGGCTCAATTGGTGAAATGTAAGTTCTTCAAAGGCCTTCTCCTATACAAGGATATTGTCCAAGTTTGGTCTGAAGCAATTTTTATCAATAATGAATCTGACCACTGATTGATAACAAGGGCTGGATCCAAAAGGGACATTATATCTGAAATTGTCTGACATATTTGAAATTATTTATTAAATGGCTGGTTACTAAATAAGCCAGGTGATGATGTAGGCCCATTAGGCCTCTTGTTTGGAATGTTTTTGATGGTTCTGGAGTTTGACAGTAAATCATCTTTTTTTGGGTGTTTTTAGATGATTTACGGTTTGGGGGTAAGTCATCATGTTTTCTGGTGTTTTAAGGTAATCTTTACATATCCATTGTACACTAACAGTTCAGTGCAGTGCATTATTTCATTTCGTACAACAGTAAAAATATTCCTCTTTTTTTCATACCTCACGGCTTTACAATATGAAGACATTGATTAACATGCACATACAACATATTGATTTAGGGTAGTTTTTGCAATTTCAGCTGCTAATCAGGACACTAGTATGGGCGGAATGGAGGATCAGCAAAGTTATCCTACAGATCGATATGTGTATTCTTTCGGTGATGACACATCTGATACAGATACAGATGTGAGCAAATCCACACGTCGACGACGAAAGTTGGAGGATCCTGAAGCAGAACTGAAACGAAGGAGGGAGAAATTGAATGTAGATATTGCCACAGAAGTTGGCATCGACATTGCTGGGAGAAACCCACTGAATGTGGCCATCATTGGAGTGCCTGGAGTTGGGAAGAGTTCGACCATAAATACTCTCATATCGGCAATGAACGATGACAAATATCGTGAATATGCGATGACTGGAAACTTTGGGGGCCAGGCACTACAAATGACTTATCTCACAAAAAGGTTTGTAAATCATTAAAGTGTTTCACAGTTTTAAACATTTGAAGAAATTTTATTAAATATAGATTGGAGTCAATTGATTTAATGTCTTCAAGGGATTGGTATAGCTGTTGACATGGATTTGTGAACAAAACATTATAGTAAATATTATTGTATTCATATGGAATATATTGTAGCTGTAAATGATCTAGCTGACAACAATCATTGACACCGTAGGAATGATATTTATGATCGATTAAATACAAATTCATGATAATTTCTAGATCAGAATTAACAGAATTCATTTTCTTTGAAAAAAAATGATCAGTTTTAAAGATCAGCACAATTTTTTATCCCTATCTCAAGTTAAAATGCAGATTGATTAACTACCTACATAAAAAAGAAGAATTTCTTAACTGTTTAGGAATATATGAAAAGCAATGAATTTCAGGACACAGAGTTTCAGCCCACCTGTCCATCGGATGGTGGGCTATTCAAGTCATCCCTGGTCCTGGGTCCATCTGTAACCAGTTTTTGTTATCGTTAGTACTTGAGAAAAGCAATATCTTTGTGAGTTGGTTCCTTGTTTGATTTCGGACAGATCAGAAAAACAAATTCACTGACCGGCAACCATCTTGGATTTGACAGTTAAAGATTATAATTGCTTTGCCTTCAAAGGACTGTTAAAAACTTTGTATGAAAGGAAAAGATTAAACATTTAAAGAACAAATAAAGATCAAACAGTGGTAGATGCCATGATCCATCTTGGTTCTCTTGTTTGAGAATTGAAACCTATAGCTTGCACCTTCAGAACCAACCTTATCCCCTTGTCATTGCCCTTATGTTACCATTGCCAACAGTCCTAAAGATATCAATATGAACTTAAAATTAAGAATGGGGCAGTTGAGAATCTTTCAGATACACATATTTTGAGAATATACTTAAAGTTAAGCACATTCTCAAAGTTAAGAACTGAGAATGGTTTAAAAATCTTCGAGATACTCTTTTTTGAGAATATGCTGAAAGATAAGCATATTCTCAATATTAAGCACTGAGGACAGATTTAAGAAGTTTCGAGATCCTTGGGCCTGGTTGTATGTAGATAGCAGACTTAAAATGTTTGTATCCTCAAAACAATCACATGGCTGATCATATGTTATTGAATTTATATTTTAAATTCAACTGTTTTACTTGTTTTATAATGAAAAATCACAATATGAATGAATTTTGTGGTTGCAGCTTTCCAAAGAAGGCTTACAGACAGCCGGCCCATTACAATGCATGCTACCCGACGTTTATCGATATTGCTGGATTTGACAATGAAAAAAATGATTTGACTGAAGAGTTACTGAGAATTGTATTTTATGGCCGTCTACCTGTCGAAGATAGCTTGAAGGTATAAATCACATTTAATAGAGAGATCTAACACATATACAGAGTTTATTTTAATGGAAGAAGTTAGATTACATAAATAGTGGATATAATCTGAGTCATGTCTTACTAAACACTGAATGGTTGTCATATTATATCTGGGTGACTTATAGATAAAAAAATCATAAGAGGAATTTCTTGTTTATTTGTTGTCCAGACAATGAAATCATCTGACATCTATTCAATAGTAACATTTTTGATGCAATTTCAAAACTGTCTCCATTTTCTCAAGTAATAATTTTTTCTTTAGGTCACCTGAGACATTAGTATGCATCATCTCCATTATTCAAGGTTTTCATACTTTTGAATATTGATTGATTTTACAAAAATGTCATGTACTTGAGTTATACTCTGAACAATATGCCATAATTCATATGAAAATGTGGCATTTACAATACACATATCCAAATGTAGAGAGAATGATATGAGTTAGGCCAAGTTATACCGGCTGTATCAGACAGGGTATTATCTTCTTGGTGTAACAGGCAGCGCAAGAGGAATACCACAAGACTGGTATGAAGGGACTGAGAGAGAAATACTCCCAGAATCTGGAGCTACTAAAGGTTGACAGAATTATTGTTGTGGCTTCAGCCCGAGAGAACATTCCAGAAAAACTCATCAGTTGTGTCATGAACGCTGCCAATCCAGCTGGATCTAAAGCAGGAAAAGGAAAAATGAGTAAGTTACCACAGAGAAGTTTGTCTCAGATAAGGATGAGTTAACACAGAGAGGTTTGTCTCGGATAAGGATGAGTTAACACAGAGAGGTTTGTCTCGGATAAGGATGAGTTAACACAGAGAAGTTTGTCTCAGATAAGGATGAGTTACCACAGAGAAGCTTGTCTCGGATAAGGATAAGTTACCACAGAGATGTTTGTCTCAGACAAGGATGAGTTACCACAGAGCAGTTTGTCTCAGATAAGGATGAGTTAATACAGAAATGTTTGTCTCAGATAAGGATAAGTTACCACAGAGAATTTTGTCTCAGCTAAGGATGAGTTAATACAGAGAAGTTTGTCTCGGATGAGGATGAGTTAACACAGAGAAGTTTGTCTCAGATAAGGATGAGTTACCACAGAGTAGTTTGTCTCAGATAAGGATGAGTTAACACAGAGAAGTTTGTCTCAGATAAGAATGAGTTACCACAGAGTAGTTTGTCTCAGATAAGCATGAGTTAACACAGAGAAGTTTGTCTCAGATAAGAATGAGTTACCACAGAGTAGTTTGTCTCAGATAAGGATGAGTTAACACAGAGAGATTTGTCTCAGATAAGGATGAGTTACCACAGAGAAGTTTGTCTCAGATAAGGATGAGTTACCACAGAGAGGTTTGTCTCAGATAAGGATGAGTTAATACAGAGAAGTTTGTCTCAGATAAGGATGAGTTAATACAGAGAAGTTTGTCTCGGATAAGGATGAGTTAATACAGAGAAGTTTGTCTCGGATAAGGATGAGTTAATACAGAGATGTTTGTCTCAGATAAGGATGAGTTACCACAAAGAATTTTGTCTCAGATAAGGATGAGATACCACAGAGAGGTTTGTCTCGGATAAGGATGAGTTACCACAGAGAGGTTTGTCTCAGATAAGGATGAGTTACCACAGAGAAGTTTGTCTCAGATAAGGATGAGTTAATACAGAGAAGTTTGTCTCGGATAAGGATGAGTTAATACAGAGATGTTTGTCTCAGATAAGGATGAGTTACCACAAAGAGGTTTGTCTCAGATAAGGATGAGATACCACAGAGAAGTTTGTCTCAGATAAGGATGAGTTAACACAAAGAAGTTTGTCTCAGATAAGGATAAGTTACCACAGAGAAGTTTGTCTCAGATAAGGATGAGTTAACACAGAGATGAGTTAACACAGAGAAGTTTGTCTCAGATAAGGATGAGTTACCACAGAGAAGTTTGTCTCAGATAAGGATGAGTTACCACAGAGAAGTTTGTCTCAGATAAGGATGAGTTACCACAGAGAAGTTTGTCTCAGATAAGGATGAGTTACCACAGAGAAGTTTGTCTCAGATAAGGATGAGTTACCACAGAGAGGTTTGTCTCGGATAAGGATGAGTTAACACAAAGAAGTTTGTCTCAGATAAGGATGAGTTACCACAGAGAAGTTTTTCTCGGATAAGGATGAGTTAATACAGAGAAGTTTGTCTCAGATAAGGATGAGTTACCACAGAGTAGTTTGTCTCAGATAAGTATGAGTTACCACAGAGAGATTTGTCTCAGATAAGGATGAGTTACCACAGAGAGGTTTGTCTCAGATAATGATGAGTTAATACAGAGAAGTTTGTCTCAGATAAGAATGAGTTACCACAGAGAAGTTTGTCTCAGATAAGGATGAGTTACCACAGAGAAGTTTGTCTCAGATAAGGATGAGTTACCACAGAGAGGTTTGTCTCAGATAATGATGAGTTAATACAGAGAAGTTTGTTTCAGATAAGGATGAGTTACCACAGAGAAGTTTGTCTCAGATAAGGATGAGTTACCACAGAGAAGTTTGTCTCAGATAAGGATGAGTTAATACAGAGAAGTTTGTCTCAGATAAGGATGAGTTACCACAGAGTAGTTTGTCTCAGATAAGTATGAGTTACCACAGAGAGATTTGTCTCAGATAAGGATGAGTTACCACAGAGAGGTTTGTCTCAGATAATGATGAGTTAATACAGAGAAGTTTGTCTCAGATAAGAATGAGTTACCACAGAGAAGTTTGTCTCAGATAAGGATGAGTTAACACAGAGAAGTTTGTCTCAGATAAGGATGAGTTACCACAGAGAGGTTTGTCTCAGATAATGATGAGTTAATACAGAGAAGTTTGTTTCAGATAAGGATGAGTTACCACAGAGAAGTTTGTCTCAGATAAGGATGAGTTACCACAGAGAAGTTTGTCTCAGATAAGGATGAGTTAACACAGAGAAGTTTGTCTCGGATAAGGATGAGTTAACACAGAGAGGTTTGTCTCAGATAAGGATGAGTTACCACAGAGAAGTTTGTCTCGGATAAGGATAAGTTACCACAGAGAAGTTTGTCTCAGATAAGGATGAGTTACCACAGAGTAGTTTGTCTCAGATAAGTATGAGTTACCACAGAGAGATTTGTCTCAGATAAGGATGAGTTACCACAGAGAAGTTTGTCTCAGCTAAGAATGAGTTACCACAGAGAGGTTTGTCTCGGATAAGGATGAGTTACCACAGAGAGGTTTGTCTCAGCTAAGAATGAGTTACCACAGAGTAGTTTGTCTCAGCTAAGAATGAGTTACCACAGAGTAGTTTGTCTCAGCTAAGAATGAGTTACCACAGAGAAGTTTGTCTCAGATAATGATGAGTTACCACAGAGAAGTTTGTTTCAGATAAGGATGAGTTACCACAGAGAGATTTACCACAGAGAGGTTTGTCTCAGATAAGGATGAGTTACCACAGAGAAGTTTGTCTCAGATAAGGATGAGTTAACACAGAGAAGTTTGTCTCAGATAAGGATGAGTTAATACAGAGAAGTTTGTCTCAGATAAGGATGAGTTAACACAGAGAAGTTTGTCTCAGATAAGTATGAGTTACCACAGAGAGGTTTGTCTCAGATAAGGATGAGTTAATACAGAGAAGTTTGTCTCAGATAAGGATGAGTTACCACAGAGAGATTTGTCTCAGATAATGATGAGTTACCACAGAGAGGTTTGTCTCGGATAAGGATGAGTTAATACAGAGAAGTTTTTCTCGGATAAGGTTCAGTTACCACAGAGAGATTTGTCTCGGATAAGGATGAGTTTACACAGAGAAGTTTGTCTCAGATAAGGATGAGTTACCACGGAGAGATTTGTCTCGGATAAGGATGAGTTTACACAGAGAGGTTTGTCTCAGATAATGATGAGTTAACACAGAGAAGTTTGTCTCAGATAAGGATGAGTTAACACAGAGAGGTTTGTCTCAGATAAGGATAAGTTACCACAGAGAAGTTTGTCTCAGATAAGGATGAGTTAATACAGAGAAGTTTGTCTCAGATAAGGATGAGTTAATACAGAGAAGTTTGTCTCAGATAAGGATGAGTTCACACAGAATGATAGAGGTTTGTCTCAGATAATGATGAGTTAACACAGAGAAGTTTGTCTCGGATAAGGATGAGTTAACACAGAGAGGTTTGTCTCAGATAAGGATGAGTTACCACAGAGAAGTTTGTCTCGGATAAGGATAAGTTACCACAGAGAGGTTTGTCTCAGAAGTTGATAAGTTACCACAGAATTATAGAGGTTTGTCTCAGATGTGGATAAGTTACCACAGAATTATAGAGGTTTGTCTCTGATGTGGATAAGTTACCACAGAATTATAGAGGTTTGTCTCTGATGTTAATAAGTTACCACAGAATTATAGAGGTTTGTCTCTGATGTGGATAAGTTACCACAGAATTATAGAGGTTTGTCTCTGATGTGGATAAGTTACCACAGAATTATAGAGGTTTGTCTCTGATGTTAATAAGTTACCACAGAATTATAGAGGTTTGTCTCTGATGTGGATAAGTTACCACAGAATTATAGAGGTTTGTCTCTGATGTGGATAAGTTACCACAGAATTATAGAGGTTTGTCTCTGATGTGGCTTAGATGTCAAAGAATCATAGGGGTTTGTCAGTGGTAAGGATTCAGTTATATACTACATTTATATAGTTGTTCTAATTCACACAGCATTTTGCATTTGTCTAGTCTGGGGCTACTTCCTTTTCTCTATTAATTTATATTAATGTATATTTACATAACAGATATATTTTTTAAGATTTTCACAGAAGTAAATTACATCATAGAGGAAGGTGTTAATAACAAGTGATATTTAAGGGCCTTGTTTCTTTTACCATTGACATATAAAAAAAATAATATCAGTTTTGATTTTTCTATACGATAAAAAAAACTCTAGTGAAAACAATACTTTGCTGTATCTAATGTGAAATTCTTAAATCACAGCCATTCCAGTCTTTGGAATTCTGACAAAAATTGATGGTGTCAATCTGGAGTCTACAGAGTTCAAGGACAAGGAGAAGCATTTCTTAGAATGTTTGGGATTACTAGGTGCTAAACAGCGTTACGCTCGACTGATTAACTACTGCAGTGATGTTGATGAAGCGGATGAACGCCTAGAGAAGTTTCTGCCAAGAATTGATGTTCCTGCTTTGAAATTCCTGCGACAAGTATGACAGAAATTATTGCATTTTTAGTCTCAATTTTGGCTTCAAAATTCTGCGCATTTTCAATGAGTGTTTTGAGTATTAATAATTTGTTTCATTTACACAACCATTAAAATCAAAAAGACTATTTTTCCAAGTCAATTTGAAGTCAGTTTTAGCACACCAACCTCTTTTGCTAATTAGTTTTACAAAAATACAAACTTTCGTTAGCACTTGATTTCATGGAATGATCTTGCCAACAAAATCCACTGAAATTCATTTCAGTTTTTATCTATCTTTTTGAACACATCGGTATGCATTTGTCATTGCTAAACATTGAATAAGATAATCAAATTTGCAGCAGATTTGCACAATGTTATTTGATAAAGATAAACAATACATACAATGATTATCAAATCAATCAAACTTTGACATTGCAGTCATATGTAGCAGAACAGATTTGTTTTCCATGTTTTTATATCTGCATGAGACCTTGCATACATTTCTTCTGCTACCAAATGGCAAGCAATTAGTTTTTAACCTTCAGCTGCCTGAGAATGAAAATCTCAAACCAGACCAAGCATGTCCACTGAGCAGTTATGAACTGCTTCTTTACTCAATTCTTGGTATCATGGATACATACTATCGTAAAACACACTCCATCACCATTTAAAAATGGCTGTAGCCCATAGAACCCAGTTTAGACGTTATTCCTTCATGTAACTGTTGGAGACTTTTCATTATTTCAAAAATATATCAATGAAATCGTAAAATAGAGAAATTAATTGGCATGAATGCAAACATAATTGGATGTATGGTATCATCTAAATGAATACACTATCATTTTCCTGTAAATAGGCACTCTTCTGAAATGGCCATCAGAGCCTCTTTAGCTTATACTGACGTATCCATCTCTAGTGTATTCATATCTTTGATGCAGGTTCTAGACCCTGTGTATGAGGTACAGGTTGGACATGAGGTTTTCACCGACACGTTTCCAGAGAAGCAAGCATCAGTGGTGCCAGAGACCATTCCTGAACCACCTAAAGTAGGAGCTGTAGTTGTGCCACGTCCACCAGTGGGACCAAACACCTCACCTGTTACCTTATTGGTCACCTATGCCATCAAAGGAATTATCATAGCACTCTTTGTCTATTTCTGCCTTGCTCCTTCCATCTCGAACCAGGATTTGCTTAGCATCTGTACAAGCTATGACAGTCACACCTCCCATTTCCCACATGGATTTCAGAACGCTCGTCTGACTGATATTTGTGACAGAAAAATGGACATTGTCGGGAAATCTTTCATGGGACCACTCATGTTTTTTGTTGTTCTTATTGTTATGTTGGATTTTTTGATGCCCCAAATGATCGAAAATTTTATCAAAAAAATTCCCAAGCCAAAAAATGACTGAGATATTTGACATGTGGCGAACATAAAAAAAAAATAGAAATTGAAATTTAGAAAAGTATGTGTTAAATGTCTTGAGGTTCATTATTAGTGCTATGTATATTGTTTTAAAGAAAACAAATCTATCCATTGAAATGATTTGTTTGTTTGCTGGGTTGCCTTGACGACAACCAAAGTCATTTGGAATTCATCTTGAAGTAGAACCTCAATAATATAGAGGTAACCCACCACATATTATCTTAACAGACTCTTAGAAAATATCTGTTGCTAACCATATGCTTGACAGACATACCAACAAAAATTTCAAGTTCAGACACAGAGTGAATGATTTACATGTACTACAAATATATATAATAGGTGTATAATATAAGCCTTCATTTGCTTAATTTTCCAACTGTAGTATTAGGATTGGAATTTTTTTTATATTCATTTATATACATTCTTTAATATATTCATTTTGATATAAAAATTTTGTAGATTCTGCGTAATTAGATTGAGTTTTCTCACAATACATTTTTCGTAGAAATTGTTGCGATGTTTGAATATATAACTTGCATTTCATATGCATAGTATTTACCACAGATTAAAGAAATATGAATCAAGTATTAGAAATTATCATTTTGTTTAATGTTTCATGCTGTTTACATTTGTGTGTTGTTCTGTATATTGTTTATATTTTCAATGAAATGTTATTGACATCTAACAAAAGGTTTTATGTATTATTATGTCCAATGAGAATTAAAAATTATGTTTAATATGTGTAATATGATATATATAATTTGTAGGACATTAGAATGAGTGTACAGTGTACATGCTGGCAATGGTGGGAATTAAGATACTATCAAAATTTAAATCTATTAAGGTACTAGAAGAGCAAGATGTTATTAACTTAGTAGAAATAGAGAGTAAGAAAAGGGATTTGGAAGAAATTAGGATTACGAAAAATTAGGGGCAGCATAGTAAGATCTAGAGCTAAATGGGAAGAGGAAGGAGAGAAACCAACCAGTCATTTTTTCAGTCTTGAAAACAGAAATTTTACATCAAAAATTATTCGGAAACTACAACTTGATGATGGTAGTATAATTACAAAGCAAGAGATATTTTAGATGAAATTAAATTATTTCATGAAAAACTTTATGATTCTGATGACAATATGGTAGATGTAACTTTTGATACTTTCATTTTCATTAGTTTTGTGGTAACTCTTAATCCAAGAATCCAAGAAATGAAAATATGTCATTTTAGGTATTAGATATCTTTAAATGAAATTACTTTGTAGTATTTTCAAAACATTTGTATAATGTGTGAAAAAGGAAGTTTTTTTTTTAAAGTCATCATATCTTGATGAATCGATTGACTGGGAAAGTATTGATGACCTATTTTCACATACTTAAAATCATTATGTCTACTAACTGTGGGAAATTTAAATCTGACAATTCACATTAAAGATGGGTGTGATTAATATTGATATGATCCTAATTATTTATGATGTTGTAAAAACTTGTGTACTTTCACCAGGCTTGACCATGTTAAAATGTTAAAATTTTTTCGGGTTCACTCTGTATAACTGCTATTGTGTAATTAGATTATCATTGGATCATAATGAAACAGCAGGGTCAAGTATATATCTTTTAAAGATAACAGTGCTAAACTTACTGCATGTATAGTTAAATAATCCCATGCTTGGTAATAAGCCCACCCGTATCAATTTGCTGTTCTGGAAAATTGAATTGTTCTGTTATAAGCCCACCCCCTTACTTTGAGTAAATGATACTATTTTGGCTGTCTGGATAATGCGATACCTATGTGTTGCATTGGAATGAATTCAAAACCGATTCTAATTTATTGCCAATCTCAAGTCTGAGTTTGAGTGAGAATTTTTTTTTTCATTTATTTTTTTTTTAATCCAGGGTTACATACTATTGAGATTTACAATTTTGTTGTGCATGAAAGACATATCAAGATTAGAATATATTATGTACACAAATCACATAAAAATTCAGTGTCAAACTATTGCAATGAGAAAAAACCTGCAAGTTTTCTTTTTTGTAACGGCAACACTGCAAGAATTTCTAATATTTTTATTCATTTCAATTCATAAAACAGTATCAATACACAAACATTGAAAACAGCAAGTTCTAGCTGGGTGAATACAAGACCTTTTGGAAACTAATGGTCTTCATGTAATTCTTAATTTGATAGCTCTGTAGTACTGTAGTAACATTTGACATAATTCACTTGAAATATGGCCATGTGAATTGTTTTAATCCATACCTACTTTCCTAAACAAAACCGAAAACAAATATATTACAATCATACTTTTGTGTATTATGAGTACCAACACATTCCTAAGATCATGATTACAATAATGAAACAGTCACTATTGAAATGGATATATGATGTGATGCTTACCTGTATTGCATTTATATTTCTATGAATGCCATGACTACTGGTAGAAGTATATATTTCCTTTGTGTATGAAGAGTAGACCTACAATTTTAAATGAACTTGATACACAGAACAGTGTATTGATGGTTTTTTTTTCTTTGCACTAGGATATTTTTCCTTTTCTGTAGGGTATTTATGAGCATGATCATGTGAAATTATGACGTGTGAATATTATAAAAAAGACTATAGCTACTGTCACTAACAAAAAATTGCAGTTAAAATGTATGTTAATCAATACATATTGTTACTATGAACATAGAATATACTATAAATCGTCATTTTTTGGTTTGACTGATAAAACAACCCACTTTATTTAAAACTTCACAATGCGTGCGATATTTGGGTTAAAATTTCATTGTTTAAGATTTTGGACCAGAGAAAATAACTAGAGTTAAAGTACTTTTTATATTCCAATTCCTGGTTTTATATGTATATAATTTGTCCAAGTGCATTGTTGTGGATGAGAAGCTTTAAAGGTGTAGTGTGATGATATAATAATATGGGTGAAATTTTGCTTCTTATTAAAAACATTCACTAACAGTTTCAGTGTTTTTTTTCTTCAATTAATTTTAAGATCCTGTTGTCCATAGGACGTGCGAGCTTATCCCAGGGAACATCTCAATTGTCAGACTGCATGTCAACATTTTCTTCTTATCATCGTCATCATTACAAACCTCCGCACATATTTTGACAGTCCCAAGCAGTCTGTGATAATGAATCTTTGAAAAACATGGAGCCCATGGGAAATTTAGGTTGTAAACTACAAAGTAGATTCTGGTCAAATCTGAAGGGAACCACTTTTGTATTGATAGTTGGTCTGGGTTCCAAGGGGCAGAGTCCTATTAGGAAAATCCAGCACACCTAGGGAGAATTGAGCATATTATTTGAAAGTCTTATTCAATAGGAATCACGGACACTGTCTTAATTCTGTATATTTTGGGGGAATTCAGAGACTCGATTTTGTTTTCATATGAGGCTGAATTTATTGAAGAGCTTAGGAGAGCAGATCACAAAGAGCTTTCACAATTATTTAATCTCACTTTATGTTATATTTTTGAACTCTTGTCTTTAAATAAAAAGAAATTTACTGACCATATCTATTGTGTACGCACACCAGAATTGGAAGTCAAAGATATGACAGACTCGTCTACATCAGCAGCTTTTGTCAATCTTCTACAATGACACCAATTTGGGTAGCTCTCCACTGTATGAGAATGTGAGGATTTCAATTTCCCTATTGTGAATTGTCCATTTCTGGATAGCAACAATCCTTCATTCTCAATCTATGGTGTTTACATGTCTTAGTTATTTTGATATCCATTGGCCTTTCCCCATTATTACGATTTTAGTACAAGTTTTGGCAGACAAACCTGTAACACAGGGTTTCCAAAGAGGTAGTTTGATGAAAATTATGGGGAAGTTGTACAGTCGGCAGAGTGATTTAATTGTGAAATATTTAACTTTTTTTTTTTTATATGAAGCTGGACGTGTTTGATGTTCATTTGTTTGCATGTTGGTTCAATTGTTGTAAACCGTTGTTCTCATTTGAGAATGTAACATACCGGTAAGTAAGATATTTGGGTTGATCATGGTTTACATGGCAGATGAAGCAGAAGATGCTTACTCTTTAGGACACCTGGTCTTATTCTACTTGTACTGTTTCAGGAGTCTTCATGTAATATTTTCTTTTGTTTATATTTTGTCTTATTTTATTGAATTAGAGTTTGGATAATGACGACATGTTGGTGTTTTATTTTGAAACAGTGGGCCCAATCCCTGTTTTGCCAAGGAGGCAAAACAGAAGGGAAACTTTAAAATCCTCCTCCTTTTTGGATAACGATATTTTGATCAGAAGTATCCCTGGGTAATGCGGTATGAATTTTGTATCAAAATGGGTCCACCAGGGTGGAGAGGGGCAGTATCAAATAGAGGAAAACTTTAACAATTTCACTCATGGTTTCTAGGATTTACAAGGCCTAATTGTATGAACCGGAAGTCCAGATTTTATTGATCAAATCTGTGATTAGTTCGTTGACTTTTGGTTGGCAGTTTTTGAGTGTTGTGTAAGATATGGCTATCGATGCCAGAGGAAGTACTTTTCTTGGAGTGAAGCGCCTGAAAAAATCATCTAAATGTAAATGAAATGTTAAGGTCATTGTTTTCTTTACTCGTGTCTTTGAGGTTGTCGTTAATTTCATCTTGTTTAATTGTTTTATTTTCTTTAAAACAGTTATCTGTTATGCATGCTTTTATGAAATTGCTTTGTTTTACCCTCTGCATTTTCCCTAATATAGGGATTTCTTTGGATGGTATGCGTTGAATGGCTTTATTTTTTTTATTCCAAACAGTTTTTGTGTTAGTTTTGTTAAAAAATCTACATTATTCTAATTAGTGTTTCTCTTTGTTCTTTGGGCAGACTTTATTAAACTTGAATTGTTGCAATTTCATAATTCCGAATATTTAATTCCGTACGATTTTTCATTGATAATTTCCCCTCTGCGTTTTATTATTTATATTTCGTCATTCCACCATGGGTTGTATTTCCTGTCTGTTGGCATTTGCCTGAGGTTTATTTGTACGCATTGTGTTGGTGACTGATTCGTAAGTTGTTCTGTCTACCGTGTCTACAAATGGACTAAGACCACAATTAAATACTTCCGGGTTCAGTACCCACGAATGAAGTCCCTAAAAAATGTATGTATATTTGGGAAAAAAATAATATGCCTCTTTGAATTGGATGTTTGCCTATAAATTTGCTGTAGATGTGTTATAGAGAAAATCTAGCTGTCAGTGTGTAAATCATTCATATTGAACATGTATTTTGTGCTGCAGGATCCGGTGTAAAAAGTCCTGTTTTCACCTTTACCCCTGACCCGGATGTATATAATTGACGTTGGTGACACATATGGAGGTATATCTCCAAAAAAACTTTTACATTTTGCTTCTCAGATGTTGATCTTGGCCAGGTGAAATGGAAATTTGCAGATGAAACTTTGGGACTTAGTTATGAATTTTAATGTTACAATGAAACATATAGTGAATTAATTGTGGTCTTAGTCCTTAATATTACTTATGTGGAGCTCTTCTGTACGGGAGGAGAGAAAACGTTTCCGGACTTTATACAAATCACTGCAAGAAACTGGTCTACTTACAGGTAAATCAAGTCAATATTCCTCCGTTAGGTTACCATATTAAGCGTAACGACGGACATTAACACCCACAGTCACTATTTTGTGTATAACAAGGGTAATGAGTTACTTTACATTGTTTTATTTCCTGTAAAACTGTTAATTATAGTTTATGAAAACGAAAGTAGAAAATTTTGTTGTCATATTGAATACGTATATTCAATTAAAACCCAAAGGTGACAAGAAGTAACAGTTATATTCATTATTTTAAAACCAAGCCCACGTGAAATGACCCTCTATCACTTTTTGTTTGCTGAGGAGGGCTTGAAGATTGCAAAAACACTGACACCAGCGAATAATACCCTTGGCGCATTAGTTTATAAAGCATCATTTTTTCAATACAAGTTTGGACGTTCGTAGCCACAAAATTGCGAGAAGGCGTTGCCTAGTATTCTTGATTGATTTTTAGTCACATGACAGACGACAACGAAACATTGGAATTGATCGGTTATTTCATCATATCTAGGAAGATGTTTAGCATGTTAAAACGTGTATTAAGAAAAATACACAGATTTGCCAATGAAATATATACCCCCAATATTTTATGGTGAATGGTTTAAATCACATTTTTTAGTCTTTATGGAAACATGACATGTTACCACATCCATAATTATCCTGGTGCAAGATCACCAAGGTCAATAGTTCATGTGATACGGCTCGACAAAAAACCATTCCGAACTACATAACGGTCCGGAACAGATGTCAAGACGATACTTACATTAATCCAAATTTAGTTCATTGAACGAAGAAATGACCTTTGCTACCTAGTGTCCAGAGCAAATAAAACGATATTTCACGATTCCTTTGTATTTCGTATCGTTAATTAGAATGTTTAACGATCCAAGCTTTCATGAAAAGTGATTGTTCTCTTAAGAATATAAAAAAAAACATTCTGGCTTGAATTTAGTCTTTGTGTATATAACTGACATTCATGCACCATCTAGTTACTAACGAATTAGGCCGACAGTTTATTGTCACTCTCACAAATGTAACACTCGTGCCTTGCAAATTTTATGATACATGTATTTTATTTGTTTATTAGTTGTCAAAATAAGCTGCTATAAAATGCAGTTAAATCATGAAAGCGCGCTATCATTTCAAAATCGCATCTACCTTTCAAATCTCTTCCACTGGAATCTCTTGGCTTTATTTTATACAACATGAGTTAACCTGAAGAATCTGGTCAATTCTCTTGGAATATTTGCGACACTACTTTTTATGTAAAAACATGCCAGCTCCCAATAAAATACTTCTGTCATTATCTGTCAATATTGTAAAATGAATCGACAGACATTGTAGCCAATCAATCCAAAGATTGTTTTTTGTTGCAGGAACAAATCAAGAGTAGCAACACACAATTCAATTCTGTCAGAAAATGACAGCAATGGAGCATAGATTGAACATGCAAGATGATATCCCGGCGCCATCAGATGGATGTCTTCAAATGGATAATAGAGGAGGAAGGAGACACAGTAATCTACATTTTACATTTTCTAAAATATATAAATCATTTAGATTAGAAAGATTGAAAGGTTCCTTTGTACTTTTAGTATAAACATATTTTCATATTGTTTTAATCTTTGTAGCCAAAATGGAATAGTACCGCAAGTGGCTGAATGTTGCTCACCTAAACGATACGTTGCTGCATGTACATGTATACATGTCACTATCTTCATCGAGCCCCGAGTGCATCTGTAATGACTAACATATTACTTTAATCTGTTTGGACACTTTGCTGGGCTTCTCATCAATCCTACATGTGACAATTCTCATTTTTACGAAAGGTGAAGCCCAACATTACAAGGGACAGTTCTCATTCTTGTTAATGGCGACCACGTTATACATCACATCCCGTTCGAATCCTGGTCATGGCACCAAAAATAACCACAATGTTACACAATGACGAAACACGGTATTTACTTGGGTTGACCGAAATGTTTATTTCATCGTATAATGGTTTTTCCATAGTTAGTACTTCGCGTTAATATCCATTACAAAAGATAGTCCCTAATCAACATACAGCAGCATGTCGTGCCACCAAAAAATAAATACCTGTGTAAGGCAGACAAAAGATAAACACCTGCCCGTCCATATCAAAGAGTTCCATACAAAGGTCCATGGGACAACTTGGCCAGGGCCCGCTCCATCGCGGAGCAGGTCCCATACGGGTCTCTGCCCGTCTCCACGTCCGACTCCCAACTCTCTCTAGCTACTCGATCCCAGACTCGACTAACTTCTGCTGGCTATTGTCTTAGTATAAATAATACCCAAATCCTTAATTTCAGCCTAGTCCCTATTGAACACCAATAACCCAGCCCCCGGAGCATCTAATTATGAAGGCACGTACGACTAGGAGTACCCGTTATCAACTTCCCATCTTTGATCTACCTTATACATTGTTTACTTACAATTAAGTTCGCCAGCGCGAGGCATACAAAAGTGAGCATCTATCTGTCCTGATCAATCATACTGGCGATATTCTGCCACGGTGCTTCAACACTGGGGTACACATCTCGCCCGTTATCAGGCGTGCATCACTACCTGTCATCCACGGGGTTTTTACCTCGGTCCAGCATTGACTGACTTTGACCTGGTGTACTTTAAACTAAGATGCTGCTCTCTACGATACACACCATTCCAAAGTTACCATTAAACGCATTTTTTACTCATTTTGTTACACTGCACTATCACAAATAGTCTTACTTTAACATAATGCAGCCTCCCCAAAACTATATTGAACTCATTTACTCACCTCACATACATCGGAAGGCCATTCTTGAATTTGTTGATATGTCCATAAGTAATCTTACTAGGACCTACATAATGTGACTTAGCGCTTGTAATGTTTCGGTTAATTATCAGTCAGCACCGGATAAATACATTTTAAATGAGTTGACCATGTAAATAAAATTTTGTACAGTTAGCTCTTTATGATATCTTAAATACACCTACTATGAATTAACACCTGTCAGTCATAAATTTTTCTCTGCCAATTTGGATGAAATTTCCAATAGAGTATCCTGATTAATTTTCAATACTGCTTTTTATTAAAAATGAAACCCGGGCTGGTTGCCAGTTACTTAGTATCGCAATCTTTAGAGCGTATTTGAACACATAACTGAAATACATTCCCTGACTATTACATGGTTTCATGATCATCAGAAGTAATACATTTGGACTCGAATATCGTTGATGAGTCATTTGCATTACTATCTGTCTGTAGCTTGAAACTGCAGCATTATTGGAAGGGAACCGTATAGCAGTTCTGTACACATTATAGACAATAAGAGGACACAAATCTGCAACCACTACAATGAGCGCTTGAATTTGAATGAATCAGAAATTATTTTAGAGTGTTAAACTACGCAAAAATGTCAGAATTTGCTGCTTGAAACAATACCAGGGAACAACAACTGGACTTGTGGCCATGGAAAACCTTTATTTTGACAGTTGTCAATACATGAATATAAAATATTTTTGAAAGATGCGCAAAGGAAAATTATGATATATTGATTGATGTCCTATATGTTGACAGTTGACATAGTGATGTAAATATCATTTTGTAGAAGAAATAACATCAAACAAACTGAAAGGCAAAAGACAAATGCAAAAAATCTTAAATGGTTATATTATCACAAAAGATTGAAATGGTAAGTAATAGTCTATAATACAGACCTACATCTAAACTTTACGATAAAAAATTCTCCGGTAGACAGAAGGTCAATGCAGTCCCGAAAAAACGTTTAACGGTCATCACCTCCTATGCACCGAGGGTTATCCTCGTCGTTTAACATAAAGGAATGCGTAAGGAGGCTTTCAACTGTCAGTCGCACCCAAATATAAGACAAGTATTGTGTTATAGTAAATATTTAAGTCAGGATCTCCAAGATTCATGGAAAAGTGCATGTAAAATAAGAGTAGGTGTTCCAGAAGTGTAAGCATCTTTTGCTTCCTCAAATACACGTGCCAGGTAATTCTGGAGCAATTCAAGTAAGAAACGTCACATTCTTAAATGAGAACAAGGTATACAATGACGGAACCAACAGGCAAACTGACGAACACCAAGCACATCCAGCTTGAAATTGTACAAAGAAATAGAATATTGGATAATGAGTTCACTATGACGACCGTACAACTTCCCTATAATTTCCATCAACTTGCATCATTTGAAACCCTGTGTTACGAGTTTGTGCGTAAGTTGACGCTTTCAATAAATTAAATTGAGATAATAGGTACAGGCTTTTTTGTATAAAAACATTGATGATATGTAAACACCTTAGGTTGGGGGTGCAGGTAAGTTGTAATCATCTAGAAATGGAAAATTCACACTAGGGACATTGAAATAATAATTTATCGTAAAACTGAGTGGAAAGCTATCCATGTTAGTTACGTTGTAGGAAATATTTGAGATAAGTGGCTGATGCAGAATTTTATTGTGTCCTTGATTACCAATTCTGCTGGATATATACGATTGGCATGGTCAATTAAACGACTATGCAAGGTCTTTGTGACCTGTTTTGATGGATCTTTCTAAAATGTCACATAGGGGTTCCCTTTTGGCACTTTAAATATTTGGAATGACCAGAAAAAGTCTTTTCGAATAAGGGTAACAAAAACAAAAAAATTCAAGGGGGAGGGGAGGTAATTAATGGAACTATCTTCAATTAGATATGACGATTCACTATGGTCCCTTAATATGGGCAAGAGAGGCGGGGCCCAAAGGGAGAAATTTTGCAAGTTCTTCTAAGCTCTGGTCCTCTTGTAGGAATGATTGGATTTTGCCCAAATTTGGTTTGAAGTATTCTTGGGTGAAACGGAAAAAGTGCTGTATAAATGGTGCATCCCGATCCCCTAGGGCTAGGAGGGGTGGACCCAGTCGGGAAAATGTAAGTTCTTCAAAATCATTCCTGTATCCAAGTTTGGTCTGAAGCAATTGTTTAAGAATAGTGAATTTGACCTCTGTTTGACCTTAAGGGCGGGACCAAATAGGGAAATTATATCAGAATTATTTGTCATATTTGAAATTATTCATCAAATAGCTTAATTAGAATTATGAGCCATTCAGGCCCCTTTAGTCTCTTGTTATAATATGCAGATTTTATCATTTTAAAAGACATGGGACACTATTTTGAAATCTTTGTACAACATAAACATTTTGAAAATTTATTTTGAAAGTTAAAAAGAAAATTGTTTTCTTCCTTAAAAGTAGCCGCATACGCTAGGTCAAAGTTTAAATAAGTTGTGAGGTCACGTGACAGTGTGAAGTCAAAGGTTGAATCTCCCTGTACAATATGGATTTCAGTTTTAAAAGTGCACACATCTGAAAATGAAATTTCTCAACAAGAACACAACATATTATTTCCTGTGGTATTCATATATATATATATTAGTAATCTGACAGCTGAACACGACACCGGTTGACATAAAGCAAAGACCTGAATTGTACCCATCTACCCTATGAACAACTCTATCTCTATGAGATGTGAAAATGAAAACACATTATTTAATCCCTAATATAATCCAACGATTGTCACATTATGTTTACAGTTTTTCTTCTGTAACCCATTGCAACAGCCCTCTTGCTAAAACTATGTAGGTCTTCGAATCCGGGAATAGACGTCTTTTATTATGAAGACATCTGATACGATTGTTAGTCTTGATATTGATTATGAAGATATATGGAAGTCACTATTGATAATGAATCAATAGCTGTAATAACATTTAATGAATTCTGAACAATGAATCTATCTTTTCAAAGAACGACATTGTGATCTTATCTTTATTTCTCATGAAAGACTGCGTACATGTACAATACGAATGATTATTCGAATTTGTAAGAAAATTACAACTTAAAATTTTGCTTCATTTAGATGTATCTATTCTTAAATTTTGAAAATGATAAAATCCCTAGCAAGATATGTAGAACATTTGGAAAGTACACACACGTTCTTTTGTGAAAATGCCGTCGTCATTTTCACTATCGATTATCAGAAGCAATATTATATCAACCCACCTCCAACCTACTTTTAACAAACTCACAATAACGTCCCAAACTTTAAAATTTGTCCTTGACTTTTATTGCATAGAATAAATTTGTGTTGAAAGATTCCAGAAAGGCAAGTACAACGTGATATGGTTACACATCGCCAAAATGAAAGAAAACTATCCCTGATCAATGTAATATTTCCTTGTATTCAAATTGTAAAAATGTACTAAAATATTATTTCATACCCGCAATTTTGACTAATAACTTCTGCTGAAACAACAATTTTCCAACCCATTATTAACCTATGTGGCCATTGATCTTAGCATTATCTTATTACATACCTCAACACTAATTTGCCAGATGAGTGGTGTTAGCCTTTTGTTTATCAAAGTTATATTTGCATTGCAAATATATCCTTTGTGATTTATTATATTTTTTATTTTGTTTCTCCACAGAATCCCACCAAGAACCGCTATTAGGACCTAATTTAAGTTCACATTACCGAGAGCGAAATCCATCCCTGAAAGCTGGTGACACTGATACTGCAGGTACATAGCTTTTCCTGTTTTTAGTTTGTTGTCTGTTAAAAATCGATTAATATTTCTTCCACGGTAGAATGTGTGATTACGTTTTGCAATCATCGAAGGAATAAAGGAAATATTATTATCTTAGATGTCCAAGGGAAAATAAAAAATCTAAAACAAAACATGTAAGAAAAAGCAAGAAAAGAAAGAAATTTTCAAACCACTCTTCAGCTGGTTTTCAACGGTCAGTCGGGCGCAAAAATAAGACTAGTATTGTGTTATACTAGATATTCAAGTCAGGATGTCCAAGACTCCTGGAAAAGAGCAAGTAGAATAAGAGTAGGTGTTCCAGAAGTGTAAGCATCTTTTGCTTCCTCAAATACACGTGCCAGGTAATTCTGGAGCAATTCAAGTACGAAACGTCACATTCTTAAATGAGAACAAGGTATACAATGACGGAACCAACAGGCAAACTGACGAACACCAAGCACATCCAGCTTGAAATTGTACAAAGAAATAGAATATTGGATAATGAGTTCACTATGACGACCGTACAACTTCCCTATAATTTCCATCAACTTGCATCATTTGAAACCCTGTGTTACGAGTTTGTGCGTAAGTTGACGCTTTCAATGAATTAAACTGAGATAATAGGTACAGGCTTTTTTGTATAAAAACATTGATGATATGTAAACACCTTAGGTTGGGGGTGCAGGTAAGTTGTAATCATCTAGAAATGGAAAATTCACACTAGGGACATTGAAATAATAATTTATCGTAAAACTGAGTGGAAAGCTATCCATGTTAGTTACGTTGTAGGAAATATTTGAGATAAGTGGCTGATGCAGAATTTTATTGTGTCCTTGATTACCAATTCTGCTGGATATATACGATTGGCATGGTCAATTAAACGACTATGCAAGGTCTTTGTGACCTGTTTTGATGGATCTTTCTAAAATGTCACATAGGGGTTCCCTTTTGGCACTTTAAATATTTGGAATGACCAGAAAAAGTCTTTTCGAATAAGGGTACCAAAAACAAAAAAATTCAAGGAGGAGGGGAGGTAATTAATGGAACTATCTTCAATAAGATATGACGATTCACTATGGTTCCTTAATATGGGCAAGAGAGGCGGGGCCCAAAGGGAGAAATTTTGCAAGTTCTTCTAAGCTCTGGTCCTCTTGTAGGAATGATTGGATTTTGCCCAAATTTGGTTTGAAGTATTCTTGGGTGAAACGGAAAAAGTGCTGTATAAATGGTGCATCCCGATCCCCTAGGGCTAGGAGGGGTGGACCCAGTCGGGAAAATGTAAGTTCTTCAAAATCATTCCTGTATCCAAGTTTGGTCTGAAGCAATTGTTTAAGAATAGTGAATTTGACCTCTGTTTGACCTTAAGGGCGGGACCAAATAGGGAAATTATATCAGAATTATTTGTCATATTTGAAATTATTCATCAAATAGCTTAATTAGAATTATGAGCCATTCAGGCCCCTTTAGTCTCTTGTTATAATATGCAGATTTTATCATTTTAAAAGACATGGGACACTATTTTGAAATCTTTGTACAACATAAACATTTTGAAAATTTATTTTGAAAGTTAAAAAGAAAATTGTTTTCTTCCTTAAAAGTAGCCGCATACGCTAGGTCAAAGTTTAAATAAGTTGTGAGGTCACGTGACAGTGTGAAGTCAAAGGTTGAATCTCCCTGTACAATATGGATTTTAGTTTTAAAAGTGCACACATCTGAAAATGAAATTTCTCAACAAGAACACAACATATTATTTCCTGTGGTATTCATATATATATTAGTAATCTGACAGCTGAACACGACACCGGTTGACATAAAGCAAAGACCTGAATTGTACCCATCTACCCTATGAACAACTCTATCTCTATGAGATGTGAAAATGAAAACACATTATTTAATCCCTAATATAATCCAACGATTGTCACATTATGTTTACAGTCTTTCTTCTGTAACCCATTGCAACAGCCCTCTTGCTAAAACTATGTAGGTCTTCGAATCCGGGAATAGACGTCTTTTATTATGAAGACATCTGATACGATTGTTAGTCTTGATATTGATTATGAAGATATATGGAAGTCACTATTGATAATGAATCAATAGCTGTAATAACATTTAATGAATTCTGAACAATGAATCTATCTTTTCAAAGAACGACATTGTGATCTTATCTTTATTTCTCATGAAAGACTGCGTACATGTACAATACGAATGATTATTCGAATTTGTAAGAAAATTACAACTTAAAATTTTGCTTCATTTAGATGTATCTATTCTTAAATTTTGAAAATGATAAAATCCCTAGCAAGATATGTAGAACATTTGGAAAGTACACACACGTTCTTTTGTGAAAATGCCGTCGTCATTTTCACTATCGATTATCAGAAGCAATATTATATCAACCCACCTCCAACCTACTTTTAACAAACTCACAATAACGTCCCAAACTTTAAAATTTGTCCTTGACTTTTATTGCATAGAATAAATTTGTGTTGAAAGATTCCAGAAAGGCAAGTACAACGTGATATGGTTACACATCGCCAAAATGAAAGAAAACTATCCCTGATCAATGTAATATTTCCTTGTATTCAAATTGTAAAAATGTACTAAAATATTATTTCATACCCGCAATTTTGACTAATAACTTCTGCTGAAACAACAATTTTCCAACCCATTATTAACCTATGTGGCCATTGATCTTAGCATTATCTTATTACATACCTCAACACTAATTTGCCAGATGAGTGGTGTTAGCCTTTTGTTTATCAAAGTTATATTTGCATTGCAAATATATCCTTTGTGATTTATTATATTTTTTATTTTGTTTCTCCACAGAATCCCACCAAGAACCGCTATTAGGACCTAATTTAAGTTCACATTACCGAGAGCGAAATCCATCCCTGAAAGCTGGTGACACTGATACTGCAGGTACATAGCTTTTCCTGTTTTTAGTTTGTTGTCTGTTAAAAATCGATTAATATTTCTTCCACGGTAGAATGTGTGATTACGTTTTGCAATCATCGAAGGAATAAAGGAAATATTATTATCTTAGATGTCCAAGGGAAAATAAAAAATCTAAAACAAAACATGTAAGAAAAAGCAAGAAAAGAAAGAAATTTTCAAACCACTCTTCAGCTGGTTTTCAACGGTCAGTCGGGCGCAAAAATAAGACTAGTATTGTGTTATACTAGATATTCAAGTCAGGATGTCCAAGACTCCTGGAAAAGAGCAAGTAGAATAAGAGTAGGTGTTCCAGAAGTGTAAGCATCTTTTGCTTCCTCAAATACACGTGCCATGTAATTCTGGAGCAATTCAAGTACGAAACGTCACATTCTTAAATGAGAACAAGGTATACAATGACGGAACCAACAGGCAAACTGACGAACACCAAGCACATCCAGCTTGAAATTGTACAAAGAAATAGAATATTGGATAATGAGTTCACTATGACGACCGTACAACTTCCCTATAATTTCCATCAACTTGCATCATTTGAAACCCTGTGTTACGAGTTTGTGCGTAAGTTGACGCTTTCAATAAATTAAATTGAGATAATAGGTACAGGCTTTTTTGTATAAAAACATTGATGATATGTAAACACCTTAGGTTGGGGGTGCAGGTAAGTTGTAATCATCTAGAAATGGAAAATTCACACTAGGGACATTGAAATAATAATTTATCGTAAAACTGAGTGGAAAGCTATCCATGTTAGTTACGTTGTAGGAAATATTTGAGATAAGTGGCTGATGCAGAATTTTATTGTGTCCTTGATTACCAATTCTGCTGGATATATACGATTGGCATGGTCAATTAAACGACTATGCAAGGTCTTTGTGACCTGTTTTGATGGATCTTTCTAAAATGTCACATAGGGGTTCCCTTTTGGCACTTTAAATATTTGGAATGACCAGAAAAAGTCTTTTCGAATAAGGGTAACAAAAACAAAAAAATTCAAGGAGGAGGGGAGGTAATTAATGGAACTATCTTCAATAAGATATGACGATTCACTATGGTTCCTTAATATGGGCAAGAGAGGCGGGGCCCAAAGGGAGAAATTTTGCAAGTTCTTCTAAGCTCTGGTCCTCTTGTAGGAATGATTGGATTTTGCCCAAATTTGGTTTGAAGTATTCTTGGGTGAAACGGAAAAAGTGCTGTATAAATGGTGCATCCCGATCCCCTAGGGCTAGGAGGGGTGGACCCAGTGGGAAAATGTAAGTTCTTCAAAATCATTCCTGTATCCAAGTTTGGTCTGAAGCAATTGTTTAAGAATAGTGAATTTGACCTCTGTTTGACCTTAAGGGCGGGACCAAATAGGGAAATTATATCAGAATTATTTGTCATATTTGAAATTATTCATCAAATAGCTTAATTAGAATTATGAGCCATTCAGGCCCCTTTAGCCTCTTGTTATAATATGCAGATTTTATCATTTTAAAAGACATGGGACACTATTTTGAAATCTTTGTACAACATAAACATTTTGAAAATTTATTTTGAAAGTTAAAAAGAAAATTGTTTTCTTCCTTAAAAGTAGCCGCATACGCTAGGTCAAAGTTTAAATAAGTTGTGAGGTCACGTGACAGTGTGAAGTCAAAGGTTGAATCTCCCTGTACAATATGGATTTCAGTTTTAAAAGTGCACACATCTGAAAATGAAATTTCTCAACAAGAACACAATATATTATTTCCTGTGGTATTCATATATATATTAGTAATCTGACAGCTGAACACGACACCGGTTGACATAAAGCAAAGACCTGAATTGTACCCATCTACCCTATGAACAACTCTATCTCTATGAGATGTGAAAATGAAAACACATTATTTAATCCCTAATATAATCCAACGATTGTCACATTATGTTTACAGTTTTTCTTCTGTAACCCATTGCAACAGCCCTCTTGCTGAAACTATGTAGGTCTTCGAATCCGGGAATAGACGTCTTTTATTATGAAGACATCTGATACGATTGTTAGTCTTGATATTGATTATGAAGATATATGGAAGTCACTATTGATAATGAATCAATAGCTGTAATAACATTTAATGAATTCTGAACAATGAATCTATCTTTTCAAAGAACGACATTGTGATCTTATCTTTATTTCTCATGAAAGACTGCGTACATGTACAATACGAATGATTATTCGAATTTGTAAGAAAATTACAACTTAAAATTTTGCTTCATTTAGATGTATCTATTCTTAAATTTTGAAAATGATAAAATCCCTAGCAAGATATGTAGAACATTTGGAAAGTGCACACACGTTCTTTTGTGAAAATGCCGTCGTCATTTTCACTATCGATTATCAGAAGCAATATTATATCAACCCACCTCCAACCTACTTTTAACAAACTCACAATAACGTCCCATACTTTAAAATTTGTCCTTGACTTTGACATTGATTGCATAGAATACATTTGTGCTGAACGATCTGTACCAGCCGAAGGCTAAGAACTTCTAAGAAAAGCCTTCAGGGCATTTTTTGGCAATTTTTGAACTATTATTATATATTCTGGGTGTACTCTTTCCATAAGGTGTCCGATTCAAGAGACTATGCAAAGAGGACATGTTTGTCAAACTCTTCAATCCGGCAGTAAATGCTAATTAATGTCGTTACGCCTTAAAATTATTAATAACGTCATTATCTCCCCTAATATATTATTGTTGATATTACGTCATAATGTTGTTTGTAAGACATTAAAACAATCGTCTGAAGATAGCCGAAACACGTCTTGAAAACGTTAGCCATAATCAAGTTTATTTGCCTTGTTGGTCTTTTAAATTTAATAGATATATATATATATTTCTGCACAGGATCCAACCCAGAACCTCTGTTACGACTTTATATATCATATTACCAAAAGGGAAAACCATTCCTGTAGGGTAGTGACACTGATACTGCTGGTAGATAACATCTTCCTAATTTCATATCTATATATCATCGAAAACACATAACTAGAAGCAATTGTTTTTAGTTGCTTGTGTGTTAACATTCGATTGTTTTGATTGCTATAACACCGACTGATGATCTTTTTTTATTTTCAGTAGCAGAAAATAGTTCTGGTACACCAAAAGTAAAAATATCAAAAGCTACCTACAATGTCGCAAATGGAGAAAATGTTATACTACAATGTGACGTTGAAGATGAAGTTGTAAATATTCAATGGAGAATAAAAAAAGAAGTTGATGAAACCTTTACCGATATAAAAATTGACAACAAAAAATACATCGGTGGATCTGCTGACTCTCCTTCCCTGGTAATCCAGCAAGCAACAGAGCAGGATGCTGGTATATATATCTGTCATGCAACCAACGACTTTGGAGAAGACAAAAGTAATGAGATTCACGTGTCAGTTACAGCACTTGTTCAAGAAAATGGTATGTTTACAAAATTTTATCACAGGAAAGCAGCGACATCGATGTTTAGAAGTTAATCGATTCTTAAGAAAATACAATGAACATATTTATGCTATTTTAATGTACTTTTCTCGTATTTGCATTGTAAAATGCGATTTCGGAAACATAAGGTTTTGATACAGCATATAACTTATGTGTTTGAAATCCATTGATTCTATTCAATTGCTTATATCTTGTAACTACGTGTTCATTTTATTAGTTTTGAAGTGAAAGAAAAAGTAAAATATTACAGAGAGAATAGCATTGATAGAAACACATTTAAGTGAATTGCTCTGAATCTGAAGTGATTTCTCAACCCATAGCCAAAACTGAGGAAGTTTCAAAGGAAAACGTAAAAAAGTTTTTTTTTACAGAGAAGAGAAAAAAAGAAAGTGGGTAGAATTTCATTTATCCTTGCGTTCTAAATGATTCATTGTTCTAACTTACAATTGATATAATGTTTTGGATTATCTTTTCATCGCATTTTTTCTCTTGAATTATATTATTGAAAATATTGTATTTCAGTTTTGCTAAAGAAGTGAGGTCATCATTCATTTAGCATAGTCAATCCTTAGACATAAACTAATTATTGTTTTTCAACAAATATCAATTCCAAAATAAATATTATTTTATTTGAAAGAATAAACTAATTTAGAAAATGTTGAAAATAAGACATTCAGTGAATGCAGTTTATCTTTGAGATAATGTCACTTTAAATAGCATGTCTTCTCAGTTTTTAGAGTAAAATCAAGGGTATGAGCGTATAGCAATACCTGTACCTATATTGTTATGCTCCCCGAAAGGAGAACATATAGTCGCCGCTTTGTCCGTCCGTCAAAAGTGTTTTCCGGAGCATAGCACAAACACTTTAAGAGGTATCAACTTCATCTTCATAGTAAGATAAATCTCAACAAGGAGAAGTGCAGTGAACAAGAACCATCACTGTTATTTGCATAATTTCGGAGATATTGCCCTGTGGGTTTTTTTTCATCTGAAATTTTGTGTGGAGCATTTCGCTAAAGTTATAAGAGATATCAACATGAAACTTTATAAGTAGGTAAATCTCAACAAGAAATGCAATGCGCCAGAACCACCACTCGCTTTCGCATAATTTAGGAGTCATTGCCCTTTGTTGTATTTAATACTTGAATTCTTTACGGAGTATTACACTTAAAATATAAGAGGTACCGACATAGATAGATTGATCTCAACGAGAATGAGGCAGTGCACAAGAATTATAACTCTCTTATTATCCTTTGTAATTTTTCGTACTTAACTTTTGTTCCATTCGGGGAATATTACATTTCTTTGATTGATCTAGTTTAATCCTGTGAATGAAAACTCACTGGAAAAGAATCTCGAATATTCATCTGTTGTTATCAATGTTTAAATTTCTGCCCCGATACCTTAATTGAAATCAAACAAAGGACTCCGTGGTAACTGATAGCAAAGTTTCTGAACACCGACGTGAAACGAGTTTTGAGGGAAATTAAACGAAATGACTCTTTAGTGTTGTCAATATAAAGTTTCTTGTCTTTAATTTCAAAGTCAGTTTGCAATCAATTTATTAACTCCAAAGCAAAAAATATATAACGCGGTATTGCATCAGTCCAATAATACAGAAATGATAAGAACATGATACAGACAGATAACTTCAACGTTGGTATCGTCCATTCTTGATTAATGATAAGATGTATGACATATTTTACAGATATCATTATGTCAAATTAACAACTTTGTGCATTCCTTATATAGGATAAGTAAAATGGATTAAAGTCCCTTGTTACGCAATTTACTTGAAATGCTCGATTCGTTATATTAAATTGAGGATTTAGATAACATATTTCAATGATTATCGTTATCTCAAAAAATATATATGAATTATGGAATTCCATGTTTTGCTCCATGTACATACAATATGCAATATACATTAGCTTTGTCCCAATTTTTCATGCAGTGTCGGTCGTGCCAGCAGCATTTAACGAGATGGTGAACATAGCACAGCGATCAGATACTAAATTAAATTTTACCTATTACAACAACGTTCGTGATTCCATCATAGGTAAAGATGGCACTATTGCCCATCAAGGTAAGCTACTATTTTTAAGAAAGATTTAAACCGAATCCAAAATTGCAGATCTTTATATCACATTCAGCACATAAGTTAGAATGCTTAAACTAATAAACACAAAGAATCAATTTTATCTGTGGTGACTTATGAAATAAGAAAACAGTAAAGTTATTTGTCTCCAACAACCTTCCTGCATCTGAAGACAATTGATATGTTTGTAATGTTAAACAAGTATAACTCAAACTCAAACAGAAAACAAAATCATCCATAATGTTCACCGGAGATTGACAAACTTGTAATACTGTTCAAGAACCTGGTTGGTTACATTGTGTTGTCAGGAGCAAGTAATGAGATTACGTCATATTTATTCTGCAAGTTTCATCTCTCTTGAATTTTTTTTACGTTTTAATGATAAGTCTGTTAAAACTAGTCATTTGATGTAGCTTTAACTCTATTCAATATTTCATGTTTCTAATATCTCGCATTAAGAGATAACTTGTACAGGGTTTCCTCATATCCTTTTTAGCTCTTCTGGTCCGAAGGGCCAAGTGCGTTTTATGGATTATCGCAAGATCCGTCGTCCGTCTGTCAACTTTTTTCTGCAAAATGCTACTAGTCATGATCGACAGAGGGAATTTAGAATAAATTTGGTAATAAGCATTCTTTGGGGAAGATGAGCATCATCATATAAATAGTTTGTCCTGGCCCCCAGGGCCTGACGTCGGGGCTCAAATTTGGGTATTTGGCAAATCCTTTAAAACCCTACTCATCCTTTCGGAATTATTGGATTTTAGCCTAATTTGGTCAGGAGCATCTTTTGATTAATTTTGTATCAATGGTTGATCTGAGTCCCCTGGGGCGGGACCAAATAGGGGAAATAGAAGTTCTTCAATATCATACTCCTCCTGGAGGAATGATTGGATTTTGTCCAAATTTGGTATGAATCATGTTTTGGCAAAGGGTAATCAATTTTCTATACGTGGATTTCGGCCTCCTAGGAACGGAGGGGATAACGCAACTCTAAATGTAATAACGGCGCTAATGCAATAATTGTTACATTAAGCGTTGCGACCGTTACGCTTAATGTAATAAACTTATCTTTGTTATGAAGAGTTGCAATTGTTACGCTTAGAGTAATACAAAATAAATTATTACACTAAGCGTTATGGTTGTATTTAAATTACCGCTAATGAAACAATTTTTATACTGTTACGGAAGTACACTGCGTGTCGATTACAAGACAATATAACAATAATATACTATAATGGTGTATGTTCCCGTCAAGGTTTGGAGGGGCCGGGGTGTCGGTGGCCGAACGGTCTAGGCTGTTGCGCCCCGTGATCGTTATAGCCTATCACCTCCTAGGTTTTGAGTTCGAAACCCAATCAGAGAAGATAATAATTTTTAGGGATTTCCTTTCCTTGTGGTCGAAATTTGCTTGCTGGAGGTCGGTGGTTCTATGCAGATATTCTAGAGTCTTCCTCTGCAACTTAAAATGGCATATCTGTAAATGACCTGCAATATGTTGATCGGACAATCAACCAATTAATTCTCCTCGTCAATTTGACCGTTGTACTGACCCCAGGCCGTTCAGTTCCTTGCTCCTTGCAGTATTAATGTTTTAAGGGGGGAGGCTTCAAGTGCCATTTTAAACGTCTTTGATATGACACGGCTGACGGGGTAACTGGCATTTTAGCCACATGCAACGGTTTGATGGCATTCTAATCATTAATCTAATCATAACTGAAGCTATCATCGGAAAACAAAAGTGCTGACGTCCGAACATCCGGCTGTCTGAATGGACAGACGGACAGGGTGATTTCTATAGTGCTTCCGCATCTTGATGTTGGGCCCTAACAATACCAAAAATGACATAACAATACAAAACAGAAGAATCAATATGTCCCCCCTTCATTTCGGACTTTACTACACTATGGACCTTCTTAAATTTGTCAATAGTACAGTTTCGGCGCTTAATGTAATAAAATAATTATTATTATATTAAACGTAACAGTTGCGCCGCTTAATGTAATAAAAATAACTATTACATTTAGCGTAGCCATTGCAACGCTTATTGTGATAATTATTACATTAAGCGCCCTTATTACAATAGGGGGAAATATGTTTGAAAACTGTTTAGATCCCTAATCTCATCACTATCAGCATTGTTTGGCATATCAAGATAAACAAAATCGTGATGTCAGAATTGCCGTTAGGGACTCATTTTTATGGTAATATCTTTGAAACAGTTGAGATCGCCACACTAGACAATGTATATGGCAAAGCTGGGCATTAAGAGATATACACATTCACAATGTAAGAACCGGCCTTTGGTTGTTGCCCGTCCCCTCTGGACTTTTTGGGTGATATCTATGAAACAATTGAAATCTCCACCCCATAATCATAAATATATATAATTGATTGTCATGAAAAAGAAGCAAATTTGTCATGTAAGAATTGATCCTTGAGTGTGGCACACCTCAAGAGACATTATTTCTTGGTAATGTTTTTGATATAGTTGAGTTATCAATCTGGTAACCATATAAAAACTCTTACTGGGTATAAAAAGAGAAAGAAAGTTATGATATAAGAATTGACTCATTTGTCTTGCTTCATCAAAAAAGCTAAGTGACTGATCAATGTGAGCAGTACAGGCCCTATGGGCCTCTTGTTTGGTTTCGATTGTAAT